GATTTAGATGGCCAATCTAACACCTGTACGTTATGCTGCTGCAAGAAAAAATGTTGTGTTAAGAATGGCAGAATCACTGGTCTGCTGACGCGACTGGTGTGCGCTGGTGCGTTATCCTGTTGAAAAATGGCGCCAACGCCATGGCGTCTTAAGAATGGCAGAACGCCGCGCTTTCAATAGGTAGGCCCTCAACCTGTTGCGGACTGTTTGGGGAGACACACACGACGCCCAAACAGTGTCCTTGTAGTCTATACTGCGGTTACGAATCGATTGCGCAAGTGTATCAATCGTATACGACGGTCATCCCTGGCGGTCGTTTTACGGGGTCGGCCGCCTCGGGAACGATCGGACGTTGACCCAGTTTGGTTAAAACGACTTACCAACTGGCAAATTGTCTTAACACTGCAACCAAAATGCCGTGCAACTCGACGGCGAGACTCCCCAGCCTGGATCATACCTACAGCCCTTTCTCTCTGTATTTGTGACAGCCGGGGCATAATGATAAAGTTGATAGATAGCAATATTCGGTGATTTCTAAGACCTAACGATCCAAGGAACAGTTGTCAGTTTGAATGTTTATGAAATTCAAGCGAATATACAAGCTAGTTGCAGAAAACCTCGTGCAGCTCTTTCACTAATACAGACTTTCACGCTTGAATGGTTTTGGTAACCCCCTTGGATTTTGTAATATAAACATTTCTAATATTGCACAAACGTCATTTTGTTTTCACTCATTTACAGGTATTCGCCAAGGAAACATGTTAACCTTTCTTTTTTGTTGAGTATATATATACATATCCCTTTTCCTGCAGTTTGAGGACTTTTAAATGGCTGTTATCAAACTTTGATTTGTTTTATTTACATAAGAGTTTATCCATCAAACCTTAAACTAACTTACGGTGTTACAATACGTATGTGCCAGATTCTGCCTCTAAATCGGTAGTGAATTCATGAATCAGACATAGGTCAAATGAAAATTCCACAAGGGAAAATGTGAAGGTCTACTTTCTCATTTAGAGATTATTGTTGCCTAGTTTTATTGTCCAGTGAACCTCCATGGTCACTTTGAGGCGGGGTATTCTCGAAGTAGCTGTTGGTAACCCATGGATCTTGTCGCATGCCATCCAGAGCAAGAAGAACAAAGTGTCAAAAGACACAACCTCGTCGATATGCCTCTCAATGGCCTGCACAACTCTTCCCACTACCTGATGATATAACAAATTGTTTAATGTGCTCATGTGATAAGAGAAGAATTCCCTTGTCTGTTTTTGTTATCAGAGGGTCAAGTTAGTACCGATTACCTTCGATTAATGTACGAAAAAAGGGTAAAGGGGGAGGGGGTTAGTATTGAAGGGGATCTCTTGCAGTGACTTACTTAACAGAAGCCATAAAAAATCTAAATAATTTTAAACGTTTTCTTTGTTTGTAACACAACTTTGAATGGATATAACAAAAGACGATGTATCTTGTTTCAATTCTTTTCATATCTTTAAAGAACTCAAAATACAGAAAATATCGTTGATTTTCAAGTTCCAAAATACAAATTTCCTGAGTAAAACATACAGTTGATATGTACGCGAATTTCCATATTCAATAATCAGGTAAAAATTTCAGTAAAAGAGGATACCAGTAAAGAAATTATCTTTGTTCAGAGCAAAAGAAAATAGAGACAAGTATATCTTGTACCGGTTACCATTATCCGTCAACTATTACTTCCAAAAGAACCTGCAACAATAAATTGTAAAGAACTCTAAAACAATAAGCTGTTTCAAAGTAAAATATACATATTTGTATATCAGTGACATTGTACTGATGAGATAGCACATTGTAACGACAAATAAAGATCTTTATCAATAATAATAATAATAATAATAATAATAATAATAATAATAATAACAGAAGAAGAAGAAGAAGAAGAAGAAGAAGAAGAAGAAGAAGAAGAAGAAGAAAAAGAAGAAGAAGAAGAAGAAGAAGAAAGAGTGATTATATATGATATCATTAGCGTCATCGCATTAGATATGACGATGAATTACTGACATCGCGTATATTCGTGACACCTTGTCTTATTGTTATTGTACTTTTGTCTCCGTGTAAATCTTTCTTTTGTTAATATTTATTCCTCGTGATATTGAATCTGTGTTTGGATACGAATATGTATAAAGGTATTTTCTTGTTGTTTTTTAGTTATTTTTTGAGAGGGAAATTGATAAATTTGACGATATAATATATTTAGGCTAGACCACCAATACAACACGAGGAGGAAAATAATGCAAAACAAAGGCGAAAAATTAAAAAAAATAAGATAAAAAGAAATATAAAAAAGTCGATTCGGAATGACCTAGAGCAGTGCAGTGATTGGTTTTAGGTCCAAACATTTTCATTACTTCACTTTATACCTTGAGGCGTCACCAACGAAACAGTGAGGATATCACAAATTCAATCTTACATTTGTTTTCCATTACATATGAGAGTTATTAAAAGTCGTTTGTAAGATAATAAAAAAGGCTTTTTATCAATCTCATATGAATCGAACCATATATGGATGCATTATATAATTAACAGAGAATCAATGTATAATTAAAGCTAATATGAGCATTTTAGGTGGTGATATAAATGCAATGGTTTTAAAAATATAACAGAAATATAGCCATATGGACAGTAATGATTACAATTAACTTAGCGGTAAAGCACATAATCAATATTATGAAAAGTATCAGGATGATGATATTAATGTTTGGGTGGCTGGCATTTTTATCTGTATTTCAGATATGACTTATAGCAGTTATACACACGGTCAGGTCACACGTTATTGTAAATCTGAAGTTTGATATGTACTGATATGACGTTTATAGAATATAGGTAATGATAGATAACTATTTCTTATCCATTTGAACTAGAAATGATTATCACAACTAAAACATATAAGACTGTATTGACGTAATGAAATTTCAATTTGCTAACATTTTGAAGCGTTTTTTTTCATTCCTCTGCACCTTTGGAAATCACGTATTGTACAAAAACTATTCACCACAATATCAAATCGTTTCATGAAATTTAGATATTCCCCTTTTACAGAAGGTGTTTGTCAGTCTCTACTTCATTAATAAAGTGAATCTAGAGATTGCTCATCGGACAAAAAATAATTGAATAAGTAGTTTAGAAAGCTAAGGTATTTTGAAGTAATGAGAAACGTCTTGATCTGCAAATTGCATTTCAGAATTTATCACCTTGAGAAATAAATTTATGTCCCTTTGATATCTTCTTTCTTGTTACAAAAACGACACTTCCAGAAGACGATGTGTCGTCTTTGATATATTTTTGTTTATTTTTATCTGATTTGAATGTAATTGATCTTTCTTTACATTGCAAGATTTCAATTTGATTTTGAGATGATAGAGTACAATGCTGTGTATCAAATCACATAAGATATTAATGTTTCCATGTAAGCAAAACATGTACATATTGACATGTATTCGTGATTTCAGGTTAATAACCTGTTGATATATCTTAGGGTAGTGATATCACAATCTTGTACTTTATATAAAATTTGCATGACCACATTTAACGTATATGGTAATTGCTTGAGAGAAGCGTCATGGCAAAACCACACATCGTGATATAATATTTACTGATTCTCACGAAAGTCTGTATTTTAATCAAGTCACCAAGTTAATATCAACAGAGGTTCAAACTTCCTTTTCATGCATGTAAAATTATGTGATTCAGCGCCAAGATAGGACAATCATAGTTTACTTTCAAAATGGGACAAATGCGAAATAGAAAGAGACAATATGCTTGTTTCGGGAAATAATTATGTGCAGCACAAAGTATACAAAGTCATCAAAGTGTCATCAGTAGGTAGTATAAACAAAGCCCTGTAGTTTTATATGGAGACAAATTATAGCATTGATATAGTTTGCACGTACGCACAGATCAATTGGTGTTGTTTTTTTATCATTGTTTATTATTTTATCGTATAGAGATATTAAGGAATCAAGCCTGTGTTTGACAACCGTGTTATTTCATTACACAAAGCTAAAACGTGCTTTTCATTCAAAATGGAGCTTGATATATGACATGTTAATAGAACTGTCTGTTTGCAGCTCTATGTATTTTTTTTGAATTTTTATTTGTTTCGCGCTACTGTCAAAATTATACATATAAATGTCACAAACTTCCTGGCATTGGTTCAGCTTAACGACTTGTAAATTAACGTATTTATTACCTTATAATTCTTCAGCAATTAAGAACAATTATTATCAGTCTACATTTTTCCAACTGACAAACATCTTATTTTTAACGCTTTATGAGAAATTAAATTATATTTAATAACAATTAATGATATATGATATATTTTTCGTTTATTACGCTAAAACAAGGTTACAATTAATTACTAATAGTTATTAATCAGTCTACATTTCTACCACTGACAAACATCTTATTTTATAGTTTCTCTAAATTTCTTGATAAAAAAATCAATATGTTTCTCGTTTCCTAAACTAAATGATGCTATGATTATTCAAGGTCACTATTCATAAACGAAAATTGTACATATTTGGATATAGATTTTTTATGAAACATGTTTCGTGACAGCATCACAACTTGGAACAGCTATCTACCTGTCTGTTACAAATACCGACCGTCACCATTAGATAAATATAAGTCAAAATTAATTATATATTGTCCTTTACATACGAATAGCATAGAGCTAAAGTGTTTGTGAGTGTACTTCAGGATTAATAAAGCAGACACGGATGTTTATCAAATTTTGAATATTTATAAGAACGTTGTCAAATAAGGAGGCGTTTCGACAGCTGGCAGAGACGTCGCGATTTTTAATTAGATCATGCTCTTAGCATCCCGTAAACTATAAAAATGTCCCAAGTTGAGGAGTACCTCACAAGCGCAAATTATGTGCGAAGCTTGTTCACTGACATTACTGTAACTAAGTGATCACCACCATTTACATCTGTTTATCTGATTGTGCGTGTTAAATCAAAATGGATGTGCCAATTCTATTTTCAATATTAGTGACAATGCACGTGTGTGGTAAGTTAAGAAACCAATAGAGCTTAAATGTTGGTGCTTCAAAGTCTATTTTTTATCTTTAATAGAATTTAAGATACTATGCTAATATATCACTTCAATATGGTTTTTTTCAGTTATATATATCAAAACATTTAATGATTCGGCACGATGTCAAATGATGATATGGTTTCTCGATAATCTCACAAAACAGCCCTATGGTTTTATTTACATCATTGTTGTTATTTACAGGTGTATTGTCATTGTCACCGATGATGAATGACATGAATGCAGATATTATGAACGATATTATGAATCTCCGTAGGAAGATCAAAAACCATCAGCGAACATTATCTAGTAAGGTAAAAGGCAAAGAAAACAGTGTCAAACTGCCCGCGGCAGAGATTGCAATGCGAGAATTTTTCCTGCCATCTGAGGGAGAGAAACCGAAAACAGATAAGAATAAATCTCCAATATCAATCAAGGATGGATCTAAAAAAGATGTCAGTATACTTGAATCCCAATCAACCGGAAGTGTACTGCCTGGAAGGACGAAGTCGACAGAGAAATCGAAGAAGTCGAAAAAATCTACAAAAATAGATTCGCAAAAAGTGTCAGAAACAAACGCAAAAGCTGCAGGGACCATTCCCAATGAAGCAAATTCAAAATTATCACAAAGTTCGTCCAAAAAGGATTCCACGAAGACAGCCACAGAAATCAAGTCTAAAACTCCATCAACACAAAAACAAGGAGCTGATTTAACAGTTAGTGCAACAAAAGCGCCGGTTGTCAAGGCAACCACTACATCGGATTCTAAGTCAACAAGACGATCCCGTAGGAGATCATCAAGAAGAAGGAAGTCTAGAAAATCAAGAAAAAGTACTACAACGCCTTCACCCAGTACTACAGCAGCAAATCCGACTACAGATTTACCGAAAGTAGTTAACAATCAAAAGACACCGACACCGTCTGTAGCTCTGGCACCAACTCCAGGAAACCCAATGCAGACTACCATGTCCCACATACTGAGAGAGGGACCAGTGATGCTGGCTTCTATGTTAGCCAGGCTATACCCGCGGTTAATGGGGCTGTTCGGTGGGGTTCGAAATCAAGCGCCTAATATGGACCCCGTGATGATGAACGGTGGCCACATGTTTAATAATCCCACACTCCAAGGAGAAATATTTCGTCAAAGTCAGAGAACGCAACAGTCAAACCCTATTCAACAACAATCACCACAAACTTCACATGTTACAAATGCACCAGCTCAGCTTAATCATATGCAGCTTTATATGCAGGATGAATTGTGCTCCGAGACGCCGTCAAGGTTTGTTACAACGTGCAGCACCAACATGGATTGTAAATATAAGCTGAAGTGTTATTCTGGATACTGCTGTGCAAATAGTCATCGGCATGCTGAAATGCTCGGTAAGTTTGATGTAAATCTTTTGATTTCTAAGACAAGAGCTATAATCTTTTAACGATTTTTAACATTTCCAGAAAGGGTTGTGCTGGTAGCAATAGTGTCAAGTCATTGTAATACATTACACTTCTGTATCTAGGTCATTTGATACGAAAGTCTGCATGCCGTCTGCATTTGTTACAAAGACAACAAATAATGGGTTTTGATTTATTTTCATTTTTTTTCTGGTTTTACTCTATCTTTTTAAAATTCCTTTTCTGATATTGCCATTTAAACAATACTTACACGTCTGTGTAACGCATATATTACGCTCGCCAATGCATGAACTTTCGAGAAAGAATTTCTTAATTTTCTGTATATGGTATTTAAACTAAAAATTTACTCAGTTTAAGTTATCACGTATTTTACTACAATTTTCAGACAATATGCCTGAGTATATTGGGATGCCACATCCATGGAGGAGCTTTTTTCGATGAATTCAACATCCGATCGGATCGTTTTTTCGTGCAAAATACCATTACATCCATGGACACTTTGTTATGAAGAAGCAAAGACAGTACGAAGCATTCATCACTATTGCTAATATACATACCTGTGTACCTGTTAGCCTACAGAAGTGAGATGAAAGGATTATTTTTTCCATAAACTTTGCATCATATTCATAATAATATTCTTACAATTAAAAGTATTCGTGTAATGTAGTCATGCACCTTTTCTCATAGAAATATTTGGTGCGAAATACATCATCACAATATCAACGGAACTTGTAGCTATATTCTGCAGTGTTTTGCTTTGTGGAGTCATAAGAAAAGAGCTACAAGCAACGATGCATTATATACTTCATTCATTAATATTAAAATTTGGATTTTGCTTGAAAGGTAATCTTCTTCCTATTTTATTTTGTACATTCTTTCCATTCGTGTTTTTGCTGATGTTGTTTTTTTTTAATTCCTCTCTTACAATCTATAACCTTTGACCCCTATCCGTAGCGATGAGCCATATACAAACATATCGGCTACATACTGTATTTCTATTTATTATTGTATTTCTTATAATAAATTTGTTACTAAAATATTTTGCTTGGTTTGTTGTTTTTACTTATTACCTGTCTTAAGTTCAATTATATCAATTAATTATATTTTAAAATAGTGTGAAATCCCTATGACGCCCGATTTATATTAGTAAAAATATTTATCTGTTATACAATACGAGCAATCGACATGAACGTTTAGAACGGAATTACTTTAGTGTTTAACTTCGTTTGCGGGCTAATTCGAATCGGAAAATCGTACCATCTAGCAGAATAAAACAAATTACTTTTAATTGCATTGATTTCGATTTCCACAACTAAAGTTCTACGTATAGAGTATCACGTGATATGTTCTAAACCAGCATGAGAAATAGTACTAATCGCGATATTGTGTAAATAATGTTGTTACATTATATATAAAGAGCATAGTTCATGACGCACGTAAAATTTCAATCGTGATTATTCTTATCATCAACAAGTATACTGTCATATGCAAATACAACCAATCAGCGACAGTCTTCGTATATATCTATTTCTGACCTTTATTAAGGACACTTAACAACATGTCCCTAAGACAGTGGGCAGTAGGGCAGTACAGGCTGCTTTATGGTATGAGTTTAGCGTACATCGTCGATGGTGTAGCGAGATCTTAGTCGTATGCTTCTGTCACCTCAGTTTGTCAACCCTGTCAATCATAACTTGATTAATCACCCTCTTAGCGTCTAGTTAACGCTGTCGTTGTCCGAATACATTAATATAACACGCCTGTCATAAATTGAAGAGGTGTCATTGAAGGCCAGTATCTTATACATATTTCCAACACAACACTGAATAACCAACTTCATGTATTGTTATTGCACTGCCAAATATAGACATATAAGCATTTACTTCGTGTTAAGGCATCATGCAGTTTGGATACATGACGTCATATTGAGTGAAAGGATTTAACAAATGTTTCCGATGATTAAGTTTATTATTATCATCATAATTATCTTTCTTAGCATTTATGATTTCGACCTCTTAGACGTACTTACGACAATAATACCTTGTTTTAATTCATTCTAATAATGGCATGGTTCAGAATATATACATGTATTTGACGCTATTCTAAAATTATCTGATGTATGAAAATTACAATATTTTATTTGATTATGAGTCAATGCACCTCACAGACATGATTTTGACTTTTCATCCGATCACTTTGTATTTTCCCCAGTTGTCCCCCAGGCTTCAAACATTAGGTCCATCACTTTTGATTCCTAGAAGGGCGAAACAACCTCATGCTTACTATCAATCTTGATTCCTATAAGGGCGAAACAACTATATGATGCAGTTTAATTCATTGTTAGGTGTTACTGTATCTAACTTTAGATTTGTATTAAAAGGTGTTATTTACTGGCGTTTTTTACCATTCTGAAGACAACCAGCTAACATCTGCTGGACAATCTTTATAAATTCATATAACAGGGCAGCGGTAAGCATACTTTGACTTAATTCCTAACAATGTCGGAAAAGATAGTGCATTATAATTAGTTTAAGGAAATGTCATTACAGAATACAACAATGCAATTATGTCAGCATTATCATAATCCAACTCAACTTCAACAAAACTATGGCAAATTATGAAAATCAGAAAGATTTTCTCTGAGACTCCCGAAAAAACCAGGTGTTCCAGAAGAGTGAGCGTCCAACGTAGGCGTAGGCGTGCTCTTAATGACAAAAGTTTAAATATGTAAATCAACAAATCAAAAGCAAAGGTAGCGCAAGAATTGTTACCAATGTAATATGGTGTGGAGATGTAGAAACTATGCAGAGGCAGGTAAAAGAAGTGATCACTTTAATTCAGGTCTTCAAATTATAGAATATTTATTAACTGGCCTGTCTGTATGCAATTCGGAGGCCATTTAGTTTCACGTTTATATTGAGCTTACCATTATATATTATATTTGTAGTCAAAAAGACCAACCGATATAATACCCGTATCATTAAGCTTCAACTAAATGTGTTTTCTATGCATTAACTGCTTGCTGATACTTTATAGTATTTTTTAAAAATATAACTTTAAAGATAACTCCAATACCAATATCTCTTGAAAGACTTTACACATATGTATTTGTAACTCAAGCGTAGTATTGATTAGGATTGAAACTGTTATTTGGGTAACTAATGTAAATGATTCTATCGAAGATACGAGAAATGGAATTGTTTTCAAAGACTAGTTCATATAATAAAGCTATATCAATACGTAAAAAGCATTTGAAAATATATTTTGCCTTACGTAACGTTAAATTTTTGTGTTAAATCAAACTGATCTGATTTGTCAGTTCTGTGCGTCATTAGATTTAGATAAGGGAAAAACTTCATCATGAATCAGCTTCCATTAAACAATGTATTACGAATGTGACAAAGTGAATTGTCATATTGACGTAAATCTGAATTTCATTTATTCAATATTGATATCCATGTGTCTTACTAGGTATTTGTATATCTGCTTCCATGTTTAGTACATACGAGGTCATTGTGGAAACACAGAAGGATATAAGATTAGTCCTGTCATGCTAATGTACGACGAAACTGATTTGCAAATATAATTGCTTGTGTAATTCAGCAAACAATACACCTGTGTTTAAAAACCAATTACACATATCCCGTTAATGGTTGAAACCATTTCATCCGTCATTTATTTGGAAAGGTTCACCACAAAAACATGGGCGTAGGTCACTCTGCTTTAACTACAAACCTTTACAACAAGACCCTTTGACAAAGTACAATATTTATTATATCACGCATATTTACACATATGCATAAATCGACAACATAAACCATGTTCATTATCAATAAGGTGTGAAACAATGGCATTAAAGAAATTGATAATTGAAACGTATTATTAAATGTGCGTAGTTCGATCCATTGACGTTTTTGTGTGTCTCAATATGTCGAGATCACAGATCGCCATGTGTTCTCGTTGTTATGTCCATGAGCAAGACACTGAGTTATATGTATTAGGAACATAACAAATTATCAAATGGTCCTTCATTTACAACATTTACTTAAGTTTTAAAAAAAATATGAAGTATGAGAGAAGTTTTGAAGGAAATCAAGGGATAAGCTTATGTTCTCTAGATAATATATATAAACGTTTTTTTTTAAGATATCACCTACATGCTTTAAGTCGTCAAATTAAACAATATTTACGATTTGAACATTATAGAAGGATTGCATTTATATCGAATTAAACCAAAAACTTATTTCAAATAAGAAATGAAAAAAATGACGAAACAAGATTTGTTTAATGAAGATAACTTAAAATCATATCGGGCTGATGTGAGCACAAGATCAATTTCTTCCAGATGAAAAAGATGTGAATATATAAACATTTCCCAGATTATTATCAATATCCTATCTGTTTATATATATCAATATCCCTATCAGCAAGGATACTAGTAACAGAAGTGCATTTTTTGAGTACAAATGTGTATATAAAGCTATCAAAATCAACAAAATATACAATATTTGACTAGGGCTTTAAATGTAAACAATTATTCAATATATTACAATAACTAATAGAAAGAATGCTTTCATGTTTTTCTTAAAAAATCAAATCACATTGTCTCAATAGGTTCTTAGTGTCCCCTCTCCACCCTGTTTGATCAAAACAAAACTTGAATTGCTAACGGATATTTTTTGCTGATGTTGAACCAGTTCATTCAATATATTGATTAAAATTTATATTGGAATAAAATTTGACAGTTTCCTTTTACATATTTCATAATAAGAAATTTTACAAAAACAAGTCAGATCCAGCTGGCTTTTAACTCGTGGTTATTATCTCCTTCCCAAGACCGGTTTTCCAATAGCAAATGAGCATGTTGTAGACCGATACTGACAGCTCCCTACAATGGCGTCAAACACAAGATTATCTGGGCAAGGCCGAACGTATGTGTAGCCTTCAGAACAGCTGGCGAAGTAATGACAGTTATCACAAGTGTGGTAGTCACCATTGGTTCTGTGCTGACAGTCGTCTGCACCACCGACACAATCATCTGAAGACAAGACACGAAGACAGCTATATACCGCAAAACTATAAATCCTTCACATAAATAAAGTAGAACCTTATTATCGCGAGGTCGTTGGAACTATGGGGAAATTCGAGTCATTCGAGTTAATCGAGTTTGAATAGTATGAAATCCAGCTAGGACTGACGAATTACTTTTACGGGGTATTCATGTTACAGACTTCCAGATAACGAAGTTCGATTACACCAGAATATCATTAACACTAAACACTGAACAACGCCAATTTTTCAAAATGGTGGAAAGAATAGATATATATCGTACTGATCAAATGAGCAGGATATTTATTCCTGAGGAAGTGATTAAAAATGGCAATCAGAAGCCAAGGGAGATAAATCCGAGAAACTATAATATATGCCCTTACTCGTTATATACATATAATGTATTGTCTAAGATAACACATTTCAAAGACAAATAAAAATTCCAACTCTACAGAATTGATCAATTGACTTAATGATCAATACTAAGTGCGTTATTTTCAGACAAATAGACATATCAATGTTGATCATCACCTTAAATGATTAATTGAATACCCGATAGTCTAGATATTTTCCAAAGCAATAATGTCATAACAAAACCATGATAAATTTGAAACGAATTTCTATGAAAGAAAGGTAAATATTATCTTGCATAACTATTTCTGAAAGAAAGAAATAGTGTAGAATGACTGAAAGAAAGCATAGCTGGTTGTGATACATAAAACAGAGAGCCAAATTGCGAAAGAAATGTGTCATTTTTAACTTACGCTTGCAGGAAGATTATACCATATCTAACACATTACACACAGCGATTTTTGTAATGTAATATATTCAGTTTAGTTACTTGTCAATGTTTGTTGTCAAAAAGTTGTAAATTATTCCTAAACATGTTGCAATAATTGAAATTGTTTGCCCTCTCTGGTTTTTTCTGTTGTGATATCCTTCATCTATGGTTGCATCATACGGTCTAATGTATTCTCACAGCATTTATAAGACATTAAAACTCCAATAGATAGCCAAATAACCTATATACGTACGTGTAATGGGTCTGTAACTTGTCGTAGTGGTAACATACGGCAGCCCTGAAATACATGATAAGTATCACTGTTTTCAAAAAAGGACAATGTATGACGTATGTCTTAAAGCCAAAGTACAATTCTAATGGGTCAGTTAATGATAATATATATGTCAGTACCAAACCATTTCTTTGCAATAAACTCCTTTATTTGCAAATATATCTGTCGTTTTGTTGTATGTGTGATATTCTTTTGACTATTTTAAATCTATTTTGTCCGCTATTTCAAAACATATGACGATTTCTCATATGTTTTTATGATTTTTTAAAAATATTTCATTGTATTTGTCTGAATATTTGATCATATTTAAGTATGAGTTATTAAAATCTTATCTAATTTCTGAGTATCATATTCCATGTCTGCAATACTCGTTTAAGTTGATGATTCATTTCATTTTTTAAAAACAATATTTTCTGTTATTCGTTTCTATTTTTTATTTATTTTTTTTTGTTCATCGTCATAATCCATCATCACGATATACAGAAAAAGAATGAATAAGCTATAATGACTAAATCCATACTGTAACAGGCGGGGAATGGTTGGTCATCAGTCCATGTGTGAGTTTTAAGGTCGCATCTTTTGTTGAGCAGAAAGGCACCGGTATTAAACTTCCAGCCATCCTTACATAGCGCTGTGCACACCCTGGGCAAGCAGAGAAGTTAGAAATATTTTGGTTTCAAAATAACATCAGTGTACGTCAATCAAAGGTGATATACTTTTCTTATTTTTCTCCTGAAAAATCAATTGACTTTTTGCTTTCATTATAAGAATGAATTTAATGTGAGATAATTGTTATCAAGGCGTTTATCCCAACAAATCTGTCCAGAACATCAACAAGTTTGGTTGGCGGTTCAAGTTACATAAATGACGGATTTTAATTATAACGCTACCATGGGATAATGTGAAATCATTATTTTTACTGGATTCAAATTTCAAAGTTTGACATGTTGGCACCTGAATGCGTGGATAAATCCTGTTCACAATATCCAATAGTCCTATCATACATTAATTCCCACTTATCTATCATTTCATGACTACGTATTTTCCTAGATTAAGAGTACCATGTCTTCTCACCAATAGGTAAAGTGTTATACAGTAAGATAAGACATCCAAAACAGAGAAATAATGAAACGTCCAGAAAAGGTATCTCTTTTTAAACTGATATGAGTTATTCTTACTACATGACGGTAGAAACTGGATGTACGAAGTGACTACTATCAGAAGATAGATGAATCGATAATGCTACCATACATTAAACTCGAATCTACCTACAATGGAATACTAAACTATATATCGATATATAAAGTATTATTTGTGAAGTCCAGAGGTTATTCCGAAAAAAGAATGTTTCTGAAGAAGTCATTTCTTTTTTTCTAAATTATAACTTTACTTCAGTTTTGGAAATTTGTGATGTATATATATGTGAAGAAACTCCATATACATATCGAAAGTATGTTTGTGTCCTACATGTTACCTACAGCGCCGTGCCTCTATCTTCACAGTTGATCACACCATTTTTCGGAGGCAACAGTGAAGCACATGTTGGTGAAGGACCTATGATGAGAACGAGTTATTTGTTTAAAATTAGCTACCCAGACATTTTTAAAAACCTTTCATTATATATTGCATTTCTAATTATGAAAATAATAAAAAGACAATTATAATAGTATAGACAATCTCTTTAACAACCTACAGGACGTGATATAATGAAAGGAATATTGTAAAAAAGAAAAAAGAACTTATTTTACAGAATAAGTTTATAAAAGACTTCCTAGGTAGCGAATTGTGTAGATTGCTTATTGTTATGAATTTACATAATCGTTCTTACTTACCGGCTGTAATAGGTGTTGGCGTAGTGTTGCTGGTAAAACTCGTAGTTAACACAGATTCTACAACATGATTTGGATGCATACAACAAAATTCTTCAAATCAATTGTTAATGCATTAATGAGGATGTTATGGTGAAGTGATGTTATTTAAATACAACTCAAAGGTTCTACAATAAACATAGTATGTCATTGATCTTTAAATACGACTCAAAGTTACTACAATCAGTATAGTATGATGCAGATCTTTAAATACGACTCAAAGTTACTACAATCAACATAGTATGATGTAGATCTTTAAATACAACTCAAAATTACTACAATCAACACAGTATGTTATAGGTCTTGATGTTCAAACAATTAAGACACTGTGGCAGAGCAATAGGAATGAACCTCGGACGACACGGTTACGAAAGTAAATTTCCTCCTGGGTTTCTGTAATTTCAAAAGGTTCGTTAGGATAGTTAGGATCATATATGGACACATTCAATAGAAGTGTGATGATGTAATTGTTCTAATCATGTAAGCCTGACAAAACGAATTTACTTACATACCATATAACACTTCCTATCGGGGAATACCATTGTGTAAACAGGATTTGTCCTTAAACTTTGTTAAGTCAAGCAAAGATAACATGATCATGAGATCACTATTACATGTAATTTACACCATAAAATTTCAAGACAGAGCACTCTCTATGTTGAAATAAAGATTCCCCGTTCTCAAACAAATATAAGAACACGTCATTTGTATGAATTATGATACCAGAGAAAAAGAACGTTCAGTTAAGCTTACATGAATATTTCTTTGTCACTTACTCTAAAAACCCATAACCTAAAAAATAATTATTAAATAAGAATTAAAAATAAATATATATGGTGTAAAATGTAATTTACCAAAATAAATTTTATGACTGGAATGTTTGGATTTTCGAGCCTGTAATGTTGTATTGATTTTTTCTGTTCTTACGATTTATATGATTATCTATCGATTTTCAGTTTAATCAAAATCATTTACAATTTTTTCTAAAGACAATATTCATCTAAATAGTTCATCATCTTTAACAATGCATTTTTCACATTTAACTGTTTTGATGAACAACTAAATTTAGTGTCATGTTTTAAACTCTCCGTTAGGCCCTGTCATCACATCAAAGTTACATATTTCGTTACAATGATCTTTGGAGAAATCAAACAAGTTAAGACAAGGATTATTTAGTTAGACAAGATATAGATTAGATTATCTTATTCAAACGTATATACTACACACCTTCGCTGGCGGGACAGCCTAGTACGTCAAATCGTAATCCAATGTGGTCTTTCCAGTCTATTGGGTTGATACGAACGTAAAGTGCAGCGAAAGGACATGAAAACCAGTTGACCTTCTCGCTGCAGGTGTTCGTATTTCCACTGAAAAACTTTATACAGGCAAAACGCTAAAAACACATTTTGAATTGATTTACACAAACAATTTCGAATGATAAACATAAGTAACATGACTTCAATGTTAAATCTACGTTAATTCGCATGAGGGAATGTTGAAGGGAATGGTACGATGTTATTCTTTCATTAAACGATCTGTCGCTCTAATAATAAAAGAGAATATCTGAACCAGATTAAACTGAAAGCTCACTCTGAGTATATATAAATCGTGTAAAATCTTTCTTTTGCTCATATATGACATATTGTTATAGAATTTAAATTTGGATTATAATTATGTTGACATGATGGCAATTTCTAGTTGTTTTTGTTTTGTTTTCGTATTTGCTTTTTTATTTACTGTCTATTTATTTATTTATTTATTTATTTTTTGCGTTTTGTTCCTTTTGAACAGGAGGATGTCATATACTCAATTTCAGACAAACAATAGTGAAGGTCAATGTAAAGGTCAAGGACATATCCTTACCTTATCAAGAACCGTATCATCGCCATACGGTACAAATGACTTTCCATCGGTGCTGTAGAGAACTCGGTACCTGGTTACCACATCCTTGGCGGTGTCACCGGAACTTACACCCCGTCCTTTTGTGACGATTCCAGTAATTTGGCTTACCTTATCTAGCTTCACCTGCAATGCATTCCGGTGTGTCTTCACAATCAAGTTTCCCAAGTTAATTTTATGGCATTCATTTCTATTGCATTTATTTCTAATAAGCGAATTTATATACAAAATCTTATATATCTTAAATTAATATTGCTTTCTGCATAGTGTTCCTTTATACCATAGCAGAACCACCATGTGTTTAATCAAATACTCAAGAATACATACGTGCGTGTATACTGTAGATTATTTTAGATACTGTGAATCACTTTGATTTCTCGAATCTTTTATTTCGCGAACTTACATCTACAAAAATATTCGCGAGTGCATGATTTCGCGAACGCTGCTCTTCAGATGACCTTAGATTCACAAATGATGAGCTATTAGAGATATGGACTTTTCAAGATTCCAATAACGTTAACCGAATCATCATGTATTCCATCTACAGTTATCTTCGCAAAAGTAGAGAAACGTAACGGATTTGAATTAGCGGTTGACTCTCCCCGCGTATTAACGCGAAAACAAATCCCACGCAAAATATAAATGATTAACAGTATGTTTTAAAGATGTAACGATATGCATTGCATTCTATGACTATAAGCAATTGCTTATTACTAAAGAAATATTTCATTCAATTAACATTTGTAAACATTCTTTAGGCGCGTTCGAGTGTTTAAAAATTAGCATATTTACTCGACAAATAAACTAACCTGAATAAACTGCCCGAGGTCATCTCTCGCTGATCGCCAGCCCCCACTCATTAACTGACCGTTAACATATTCGGGACCAGAGGTTATTTTTGCCCGTTCTGGACCAAAGTAAACACCTGTTAAACCTGTCCAGGAACTTGAAGCTGAGAAACTGTCGTTCCCAATGACGTCACTTCCGGAAATAAGCCGTTCTTCACATGTCGCTGCAGGGAAAAATATCTTTTTATTTTATTTTTCTGACACTTTGTCTCTCTGCTGATGGAACGGAACATATGACGGTGAAACCTAAATCCTGTTGATCGGAACTGATCCACATCTTTATTTTTAGAAAAAATAACGAACTATAGAAGGAAAATATTTCATCAATATATTCGTATAATCCATTACAAATAGACGAACTGAAAAACTTTTACAAATATTACTTTTTAAAGATTGTTTTAAGAACAATGATAAAATCCATATAATTGCTTGACGTAATAGAATAACATTCTATACATATGTGTTATCTAATAAGTGACATCAGAGGAAGACATGGAGATGTCTTTAGTAACCATTGGTTAATATAGGACTTACAGACGCACCGCGGTACAGATCTTCCAGTATACCACGTGCCTGTCAAACGATCGCAGATCCGTCTAACTGTGACGTCATGGGTCTCGAACGTGAAACCATTAGTGCACTCCACATCACAAACTCTGAATATGAAGAGGCATGCTGAGTAAAATTTAAAAAAAAACAATAATTATCTTTATTAAAACATATTTGTTTATAAGCTGAATTTTCTGTTGCGCCAAACAGATTTGTTTCTATCATAAATAGTTTGTTTGGATATAAATAGCTATACTCACACGTCAGCTCCGACCTCGCGGCACTTCACAGCTGCTGAATCAGCTGACACATTCAGAGAACCACAACGGTTTACTACATCTACAGCTGTGGAAATAGAAGTAACAATTTCAATTGGGGTTTTACTTAGTACAGTGAAAGCTCGCTTGAAGACAACATCAGAATTAAGATCATCTCACCATTAAGACCCCTTCGGAATTAAGACACAGATAAAAAAATTCCAAAAACCGTTTTTTTTTCGTATGATTTCACCTCAATGATAAGCTATCTACCCCGTCATTAAAAGCCTCATTAAGTAACCTGATGTGTATTTCACAATGTACATGTACCTGATGTCAGATAAGTTTAACTGTATTTGTGTATCAAACTGACTTTTTGTACATCATCATTGTGTGTCTTATGTTACATTTGTTACCATTGCATAAAACCACCTAACTGATTCAATGACTGTAAACACATGGACATACGTGGTAGTGAACGAAGTATGTCTGCCCTATCCAGACCACTTCACTATTAAGACCTATTTTGTCCAGTCCCAAATGTAGTGTTAATAGTGAGTTTACCTGAAAACACTGTAAGACCATACTTAGGACATACACATAAATGGTAGCGCATAATCATCATCAGACCATATATACAGGGCCAGTCCTTACTTATTGTTTAAATATGTTTGAAAAACAAATAAAGAAGTCCAGGACCAAACCAATTCACTTCATGCGACACATTATATATACAGGATGAGCAGAAGATAAGATAAAGAGCGATTTTTTTTCATTTCATATATAAGAAATAATTATCTGAAATACAGCGGTTTCTACTTCAGGGACTTACAAACTACTCGCAAGTTTTAGTACCTTTCGAAACAAATACAAAACTAGATACAGTGGAGTCAGGTAATGAATTGCAATGCATCGTGCCGCTGTTTTCATCCTTCTAGGACTTGACATTGATGATATGTGCCTAAATTGTAAAGCTTGGATCTGACTGGGGAAAACACAAAATGATCAAAAGATAATCTAGATAGGAGATGCACAAGCCGCTTACTTAAACAAATAAAGAAATGTCTTATAATTTGATAAAAAAAGTCAAGTACATACATAAAAATAAAAATCTGACATGCAGGTTAGGGCATACTTCTGGGACGAAAGACCAGCCTGAGTGTCTACCACTTGCTATCTCGAAGAAATAGAATATTGTCACCACAGATGCCGCATGCCATTAAGTACTCCTAAATGTCGACAAAACAGATGATTCCGACAGAAATCAAAGTAACAGACTACTAATACATAAGTATTCGACCTACCTTGGCAGGGTTGAAAAGAAACCATGCCGTCATACCACACGCCGTCTTTGATAGTACACACGAGCTTAGCATTGTCAAAGGCAACGGGCAGGTACCCATGGTAACAGACAGCAGTACAAACCCTACAAGTAAACAGTGGAGACAAGACTGACACAACATCTAGAACTGATGACGTAAACATTTCAGCTTGTTTAAGGTTTAAGACAAACAGAGCATATCATGTTTTTTCTCAAACACAAAAGTCAACAGAGGTAATTATTTATTTCAATGTTTCCGCTAGGATTCGAAGCCGGGGCCTCCGGCTTACTAATCTGATACTCAACAGATCGAGCTAAGAGAAGTTCTCTCTGGTCAAGCGGTATATTGCGGCTAGTATTTATCAGGGTAACATACATATTGAAATATAATTATATAAATTTAGTTAATTTGGCCTAGCTTTAGGAAAGAACTTTCGCTCAATAATGCTCATTGTATATGACATACTGTTAACATCATCAATTAATGAAAACTTTAAAATTTTGGAGTAATTCATCATTCTGATAGATTCGATGGAAGCTCACGAACATCAATGAAAAGTCCTGGAAGGACGAAACAGCTGAGAAATGTAACATCACTGAAAAGTCCTGGAAGGACGAAACAGCTGTACGATGTACCATCACTGAAAAGTCCTGGAAGGACGAAACCGCTGAGAGGATAAAACCGATAGAGCAAAGACCTTTTCGAAAGTGCGCTCGGGCCATTTGAAAACAAACATACAAACAAATCAAACAAATAAAAGCAGGGAGGGATGTCAATTGTTCATGTACTTTCGTTTTTATATAAATATACATCCACAATTTAAATTACTAGTATTAACATTTATTAAGATAATTAGATAAAAGTAAGCATAAAAACATCAATACTCACACCTCTGTGCCCTCCTCTATGCACTTACTCATTCCATTAGTGGGTGGGCTGGGAAGTGTACAGTTTCCGATGACTGCCGCTGAAATAGGATAAACTAGTATATTATGAATGATCCTTGTTTGATTACTCCATCTGAAAGAATTGAACTGACAGCGTTTTGCTTAATTTCATATCTGTTTTTCGACGTGAAATTAGTTACACCTGCAATGTACCGTCTTGATGATAAATAGGATATAATGACTATATATGTCATACGGGAAAAACTATTTTTCGTTCATTTTGCATTTTTTTCTCAGCAGGACGAAAATGAAATGTTTCAAGTAAGCGGAAATGCTTTTTTTTGGCAGAAATGTTGTATGTTACCTATAACGCTACCTTCATTATTTTTATTGTATGTTATTTGAGCAAAAACGACACCTAGTGGAGACATAAGTATATCTCTACTTTGGTTTTGTTACAAAGACAAAACGTCATTATTCATTTACCTTTACAAGCGGGAAGAACATTGCCCGATTCCCACTCTCCGCTTGTGACGTCACATATCCTTGTGATTGTTGTTTCATGGCTAACGAATGTGTAACCATCGTTACAAGTTCCGGTACAGATACTAACAGTAAAAGAACATATTCAAAACATCACCATATTTATTTCAAACGTCAACATATTCTGGCATTCTTTTCAAATCATTTTCGTCATGGAACATTACCTTATGCAGTTCGAAAGCTTGTATATATCAAAAACATTTTAACCCGAAAAGCAATTATGAAAATGGTCAAGGGGAGATAACTCACAGTTTTGTGTCCCTGTGCTCGCATCGAACAACGCCGTTCTCTGGAGGATGTGCTGGTCGACAGTTCTCGCTGCTAAGGGATTCTACCAAATTCAAATGCAGAATGAAATACAACTTTCAGAAAATGAGTTAAGAAAGAAGGAATTATAATTTTTAAAAAATGGACTTCGTCTGAATGCATAAAACCAATACTACGTATCACAATATGTGTGGTTGTTTATTAAGGGTATTTCCGTACATCAGCAAACTCACCTATAGACATACACTGGGGAAGTGCGTTTCCACCATTAAACCATTTACCATCAATGACGTCACACACTCTTCTCTCTACTATATTCATAGATCGGAACCGGAAACCGTCGTTACAAGTAGCCACGCATGTCCTTTATCAAGCGAAATAGTATCATAAACAAGAAAAAATGTAAATAAGATGGACCAGACAAAGAATGGCTATATGATTCTTGACCAATTGACTGATATCAAATATATTTAAGCACAGTGGACGCTAGATGAGAATGAACATTGTAATACTTGAAATTAATTGTTTCGTTTCGCTTTTTCCTGGTAAAAAAAAATCTTTAAATTAATTTTCCGGAACGGGCTGGTACTAAACTAAACACTAATTTGTATGCTGTGCTAGTACTCTTCATACTTGTCATTCGTCTGACGAAGATGATCGTATAGTCATCGGAACGCCACACTTACTTTTATTACTGCTGTATTATAACTACATCTACTCTATATCCTGGTTACCAAATCACATTACCATCGGAAATCGTCACAATGGATTGCACTAATGGTTTATCAAGTAAACATGGTATTGTAATATTTAAATGAATGTTTGTGATTGTAAACCCGTTTCTTTTTATCAGCCATGTCGACTTACAGAAAATTTCCATTCTCCTCACAAGACACATTTCCATTTTCAGGGGGGGATAATTTCTCACAGATGGCCTTTGTTGGAGCTGTTATCACCACTCTTTGTGAACATACTGAAAATGAAATAGAAAAATAGTGTCACAATTTTCACTACTTGTTCATGGTATCACTGTACTTACTCGGTCACACCTGGAAAAAGACGCTTTACGAAAATGATCGTACCAGTCAAGAGCGACTTTAAAGTTCAATATTCTAAATCGAAACCCTTTTTGTTAAATTCGGAAACGGAATAGTCTAGGAAAAAAACGAGATTATTAAGGTTTGTTATAAGGAAATGGCATTATTATGGATTCTCCGATATCACTGCAAAGATGACAAAGAAGAAACAGAATTAAGAAAAGAAGGTAGATTTGTGATTCGCTATGATGTTGAATAGTAAGATTTATGAATACAGCACAATATACGGTTCTGCACTAATAAAATAAATTCCCAACCTCTATAATGGTTCTTTAATAGTAAGCGAGTGCAGATAAAACGAGACCCTCATATACCGAGGTATCAATATCACTATATATAAACTTATGGCATTATGTGCATCGATGTTGAGCCGAAATATTTTTTCTTAGAGATTTGGCCTCAGTTACCCAAAGGTTAACTAAAATGGTTCGTGGAAAAAAATTAATCTTTTGCCACCAAACAAATAAAACAAAATAAAAATAGAGCGATACAGGCTATATTAACACTAAAATATACGGCCTGTCTCATCACATCTACAGCTGAGAAATGTTAATGTATCCAATTTTGTTTTATTCATATTTAAATTTTTTTTCGCTAACCCCTAGTTATCTTTAATCAGCCTTTGAATTACCGGGTCTAAATGTATAACGAAGGACAGCGTATGACAGCTATATTTACATAAAGAAGGAAAATAATGATCAGGATTTTATCATATACAAACAAGGGGCATTATATTGAAAAAAGGGATGCAATAACGAAGGGCTTTAAATAGAGATTTTTTGAGGGGTGCGGGGGTGGGGGTGGGGGTGGGGTGGGGTTCACGCTATGTGTAGTTTTCCACTTATAAGAACTCCCAAGGTGCCGGAACATTTGTTATCTACTACGATTATTTACTTTCCTTATCGCAGCTGTCTGACAGTCAACATATCAGTAAACAAAGTAAACATATTACGTCATACCGAACAGTCACCATCTCATTATAAGTTATCGGAGTTCCCTCCCCTTGTTACGTCATAGAGGATGGATTCCGGATATTTTTATCTCAATGACATCACAATGAAGCGTGATAAGTCGGTATGAGAATTTATTTACAAAGCAGGTGTTTATTTATCATATAACTCATATAGATACATAAATAAAATCGTATGTATATGATAAGCACGCTCTCCCATCTTTCAGTGTGTCTTATTTACTATATAATATAGATAACGTTGTACGTATATGTTGGATTCAAACACATTTTATTGACGTAAATTCAGAGGAGTTGGGCACAAGTTCTAGTAACTTACAAGGCCCTTAACTTATTTTATCTGTTATTGTTTCTCGGATAAAAATAATGCGAATTCTTTCCTCATCGAGCGATTGAACATTCCAGGTTTGATCATATCTCCCTTTTGTTAAATATATTTTATGGTAGATTCTCAAGTTAAGCTTAAGCCTTGGTGTCGTTCATACATCCTTGAACTGTTTGTCCGACTACAACTGCTGTTCAGTTTATGACGGACAAGTGTGAAATGTAGCATTCTGGCATTCTTTTGCATTGTCTATAAAATTTTAAGTTATGTCAAACGTATTCAGCATCCGATCTCGTCTCACTTTATTCTAAACGTTTTGATTTGTCACTGGCTGAATCACGTGACCATTTATAGATATCTTAATGGTCCAATAGCTGAATTATATGATTTCTAACTGTCTTGGGAAAAAATAATTCGTATACTCATTATAGGTAATAATTACGAAATTTAGAATTAAGAGTTCGGACAAATTGTGTGTATTTTTATTGAAGTGATACTAAAATATCGTTTTTGTTTCTTTTTTTTTCTTTTTTTGCTTTTTTTCTACTTTTTTTTTTTCATTTATGAATTCGTGGTAAATTATATGCATTCTGTAAATTGAAAAATGACATTTGTACATGTAATCGTTTACCGTGTAGTTACTATAGATTCCCGTTCCGAATCATATTGCTACATATCAGATTCAAAATCAAGATAGTCTGTTTATAAACATATCCTATATGTCAATGACATACTGAAATATAGGATTAAAAAAAATTGAAGGCGGACGGGAATGTCACTCCATACACAATAAACATTGTAAATGGTCTACAATTTCAAATGAATTTCTCTCTATATGTAAAAAAAAAATAATCTAATACTGAAAAAATTGATTTTATGAGTTAAGACCTTAGAAAAAAATATCTGAAATATAGACATTTCTCTCCGTCTATAAAAAGGGTTAATCTGACGTTAAAGATTTTTTTCTCCATTTGTAAAAGGATTCAAGATGATGCTAAGAATTTTGATATCATAAAGTAAGAATTTGGAGAATAATATCTTAAATTTATCAATAAATTTGCACATTTACTTTTAATTGGGTTAAGGCATACAGTTAACATGTGTTATATCAACTCACGTGTACGTTCTGGAATTATACCATAAACCAACACAGTGATGCAACGGATTCAAAATTATATAATATTACTTACCTGCAATTTCCTCAAAAATACCGAAAATAAAAAATGTAATGACAACAAAATGGGCGTTGGTCGTCATTCCGGAAGTTTTTACAGGGCTTGGTTAGTTCGGAGTCGTTAGCACACTGTCCGGAAGGGTTGGGTCTTTACTGTATTAAGGTATAGTCGATGAACGATTTGTTTTAACTGTCAACCTCCATATCATCTTTATCACAACAATTTTGCCAATAAAGGTGACCGTGTTTAGTAAATAGGGATAGTTTGTACACACAGGTCACGCCAAGTCAAATACCAGTTGTTGGTGCCCGAATTTACCATAGTACATGATATATCAACAACTGGCCTACTGTGGTCAGAATTTTAAATGTTGGTGTTTAGGAAACATACTTTAAGATATACCCATGAAAATAGATTTCCACGTGGATTTGACATTCGGCAGTCTATGGCTTTCCATGTAGGTTTGGTGCGGGTGAACAGTATGCCCCGAGTTGACATTGACTTCAATACTTAAGATATTTTATACTGGTGTTTTGTTCGTGAGTATCATCAACAGTGTCAGCTTGTTTGATTTTTGTTTGCTGTTTTAGCCAGAATCATTTTGAATCCTGGTACAAGATGGTGGCTACCTCACTGAACATTATACGGGAGGTCAGCCGGAAGGCACACATAACAATACTAAAGTGTTCTGCCAAAGAACACAGTCATATCAACATACACCGGTCGTTTTCTCAGCTTCCTGAAAAACACAACACCGCCACGGTTAGGCACCGTCCAACAACAACACTACACCGCCACGTTTAGGCACCGTCAAACAACAACACAACACTGCCACGGTTTGGCACCGTCAAACAACAACACTACACCGCCACGGGTAGGCACCGTCCAACAACAACACAACACCGCCACGGTTAGGCACCGTCGAACAACAACACTACACCGCCACGTTTAGGCACCGTCAAACAACAACACAACACTGCCACGGTTTGGCACCGTCAAACAACAACACTACACCGCCACGGTTAGGCACCGTCAAACAACAACACAACACCGCTACGGTTAGGCATCGCCGAACAACAACACTACACCGCCACGGGTAGGCACCGTCGAACAACAACACTACACCGCCACGGGTAGGCACCGTCAAACAATAACACAAACCGCCACGGGTAGGCACCGTCGAACAACAACACTACACCGCTACGGTTAGGCACCGTCGAACAACAACACAAACCGCCACGTGTAGGCACCGTCAAACAATAACACAAACCGCCACGGGTAGGCACCGTCGAACAACAACACTACACCGCTACGGTTAGGCACCGTCAAACAACAACACAACACTGCCACGGTTAGCCACCGTCGAACAATTCATGTGAACAACAACACAACACCGCCGCCGTATCCAACTCTATGCTATAGTAAGAGGAAAGAACATAAAAACCGCTGTCTTTGCTTCTCTGGTAATGCACTCGCCTTTCACCTAGCCGACCTGGGTTCGAATCCCGGTACTCCGGTTTACTCCCACAATAAGACCCTTCGCGCGCTTACATCCGAGCCAATAATAATGATTAATATAAGTTGACATAACTTCTTTCGCAATTGTTGTAAAATAAATAAAGTTTATATTTATATTTATTTGCTTCTCTTCTGTCCCTTTTTCTGAAACATTCAACGTCGGTTTTACTATATTAAAATGCAATGACTACGAATACCCTTGCCTTGCTGGCAGACAATAGGAAAATAGAGAAATGAATTATTATCCTACATCTAATTTTGATAGTCTTGATTTTAAAAGAAGTTTAAATCGGATTTACACAAGTACTTTATTTATAATTTCCACGCTTGGAAACACAATTTATTTACAATGTACTATATATATTATCCTTGAAGATATATCGACTTACAATATCAAATTCGCTAAAAACCATCATCCATTCTTATATGTAATTCCCCCATAAAATATGTTCCGAAAGCCCAGAGTGTCTGGTTTATCATATATATAGTTTTAGTTATCGTAGTCTAAGTTTTACTTTGCCTTGGCCTAACTCAGCCCAACACAAACAAACAGGAGTCACCGATAGAGTGTTAGGCCTGCATTGCAATCGTAGAGTGTCGTAACTCGTGTCCGGTAACCTGAAGAGTCTAGGTCGTTATCACTTACTTCCTTAAACAGGAAGTCTTTTAAACTTTACAGGGGTCGGAGTGAAACGTTTCTTTTTAGTAACGAAAAAGAGAATTTAAAACGAATGTAGTTAAACGTTACATAAAAACAAAAATTACTTCATAAAGCATCAATATCAGTCAACATTACATGCAAACTCAAATTCGATGATAGTAGAATATGGAAACAACAAATAATTAAAACGGGAATAAGATCGTTCAGATGATCCAAAAGGGTAAGCGTCTTCTGCTTCGTCCAAGACATACACAATATATATGATGTAACGTTACCCAAAAGAGAACAATAGAAACAACAACAGAAAATAATTCCAGAATGCATTTGTATATACTTGAAATTTGTCGCTATATGGTAAAAAATAGGAATAATTAAACTAAAATTAATATCATATATATATATCTATGTTAAATTCTTAGAAATGTCATATGTAACATACATTATAGTAACCATAGTAACTCCGTTATTACTGACATTCACATTAAATTTTGAAGCATCTCCCTGCGTTTGCTCTGAGATTTATAAGTATTAAATCACTGAATCCACCAAAGAAGTGATTCACCAAAGACCAGGTGCTTCATCGATGACACCCATCATATAAATATTGGTCAATTCAAGTAAGTATCTCACGTTCTCAAATGAGAACAAAGTATACAACAATGGAACCTACAGGCAAACTAACGAGCATTAAACATATCGCACAATAAAAAACCATTAGACGACCGTAAAACTTCCCCATCATTTCCATTAACCATAAACCTTCCCCATTATTTTATTAACCATAAACCTTCCCCATAATTTTCATTAACCAGAAATCTTCCCCATAATTTTCATTAACCATAAAACTTCCCCATCATTTTCCTTAACCATAAAACTTCCACATAATTTTCATTAACCATAAACCTTCCCCATAATTTTATTTACCATAAAACTTCCCCATAATTTTCATTAACCAGAAATCTTCCCCATAATTTTCGATAACCATAAAACTTCCCCGTAATTTTCATTAACCAGAAATCTTCCCCATAATTTTCGATAACCATGAAACTTCCCCATAATTTTATTTACCATAAAACTTCCCCATAATTTTCATTAACCAGAAATCTTCCCCATAATTTTCATTTACCATAAAACTTCCCCATAATTTTCATTTACCATAAATCTTCCCCATAATTTTCATTAACCAGAAATCTTCCCCATAATTTTCATTTACCATAAATCTTCCCCATAATTTTCATTAACCAGAAATCTTCCCCATAATTTTCATTTACCATAAAACTTCCCCATAATTTCCATTAACCAGAAATCTTCCCCATCATTTTCGATAACCATCAAACTTCCCCATAATTTTCATTTACCATAAATCTTCCCCATAATTTTCATTAACCATAAAACTTCCCCATAATTTTCATTAACCATAAAACTTCCCCATAATTTCCATTAACCAGAAAACTTCCCCATAATTTTCATTAACCATAAAACTTCCCCATAATTTTAATTTTCATTAACCATAAAATTTTCTTCCCCATAATTTTCATTTACCATAAATAATTTTCTTAACCATAAATCTTCCATAATTTTCATTAACCATAAACCTTCCCCATAATTTTCATTAACCATAAAACTTCCCCATAATTTTCTTTTAAACTTCCCCATTCATTAACCATAAATCATAATTTTCATTAACCATAAACCTTCCCCATGATTTTCATTAACCATAAACCTTCCCCATAATTTTCATTAACCAACATCTAATAAAATGCCATAATGTGTAGCGAGTTTGTCCGTCGGATGACTTCTTTTTTAGTAATATACCTTTTGTTCAAGTGACAGGAAAGTCGAGCTATAACTGTAATATCGGGAATAGTTATTCTTCTCACCCCAGACAGAGGCGTAAACCTTTCTGTGTTCACTGACCAGCTATGGATGGCGGATGGCTTGTCCGAGTTCCCGGTGACTGTGGTATCTGTGTTCAGCTTTGGTATGCAAACATTTCTCTATCAGCCGTACGTAAGGGTAAGATTAGCCAAGATTGGGTACTTACTGATGTGGACAATATAACGTTAACTCGGGTGTCAATATCAGAAGTGGTATACTCGGTTCATAGACCGATCAATTATCTCTTTGTTGGTAGAAAAAAGATATGTCTACCTGATTTATCTATCTTCTCTCATCGTCTTTTTTTTTTATTCAATAAGGTATTTGAATCATTAAAGACACAGATACAGCATAGACGGATTGATATTTTCGCAGTAAGAATCAATCTATGATAAAAAGTGTTAAGATAAGTGTACATGTATTTGATGATATCAATAGATTTGAGCACATGCTTAGGAAGTGGTACATCATAGCTGAATTTACGCGCTGGGCATGACAAATAATTACAAAATTTCTGAAGTTTTAAACAGTTTATGAATGACTATTTATCGTTATGATCACCTTTGTCATTTTATTCTTGTCTAGTTTGAGAAGTGTGCACTCCACATTTATACGTTTCAGATGTCGTTTGCGTTTCAGAGGTCGAATTTCCATTTACACGTATGGAAATTAAATGAAAATTTCAATGAATTTCAAGTAGTGAACCTCATCAATTAAAACGTCTTACACCAATCATCACTTAATACAGCTTTTGCACAAGAGACGACGAAACACCATCATCAAACCTTTTGTACAAATAAGGAAATTTCAGTAAAGTTCAATACGATTTAACTCCCTTTAAATAATTTCTCTTCCCTTTGTCCGTACTTCGTTACCAAGAGAACTTGTAATAAATAACTACCAAATGTGAAAATACCAATATATCTATAATGATTAAACAAGCGATAAATAGTTGAATTAGATACAGATAATGCGAGGGTCTAGTCTTCATGCAAAGGAATGTTAAATGGAATTAATTCTATAAACTTGTTTTATGCTACAAGCTAGAGTAAACATTGTCAAACAGTGAAATGCTTGGTGACGTCAATCAGTAACGATTTATTTACTTGTTGACTCTTTGCTGTATCACATGTCTCTGTATCTCAACAATTAGTGAGGAATGTAGTGACACATCTCTCATACAGACATATTCTAAATAACAGAACATTATAGAACTTTTTATTACAACGTCGAAGAAATGTAAATAAGCTTGTATCAAACAGATTGCACGTGTTTACACCAAAACAATGCACTAGAGAATAGTAACCGGATTTATCTTGTCAAAGAACGAGGTGAATGCTGATAAATGGGCAGTAGATGTATCTATCTGTGTGATGTAGGGTGGGAACGTGAGGTGGCAACGTCATGTATGTTCTTTTTATTGTACCGCAAATACATTACACTATTTGTAAACTTCATTCAACTAAGGTAATATCGGTTAGACTGTTCGTTTGTTTTGTGATATTTTGGAAATTCTCCTCCCATGCCGATGTTGCCGTGGAAAATAAAATGTCTTACCTAGAACGTAGATTTTTAAAAACATTCTGACTCCTATTTTTCACGTCTACCTATATGATTAAGGAAATATTGGATTATCGAACAGACAAGCTCAGGCTTTGTAACGTAATATCCATTGCATGATAATTTACATTGATTTATGTCTCGAGAAACGTCAAATTTTATTGCTAACATGCTTAACTACAGCCAAACCTGTCTATAAAGACCATCAAAGGGACTGAAGAAAAGTGACAGGTGACCTTTACTTAGAGGTTCAATAGCTATGAATTACATTACATAGGAAACCAATATAAAGTGACCTTGACACATAGGTGGCTTTAATGTAGAGGTTCAATAACTATTAATTACATAGGACACCAATAAAGTGGCCTTTATACACAGGTGGCTTTAATGTAGAGGTTCAATAACTATTAATTACATAGGACACCAATAAAATGGCCTTTATACACAGGTGGATTTAATGTAGAGGTTCAATAACTATTAATTACATAGGACACCAATAAAGTGGCCTTTATACACAGGTGGATTTAATGTAGAGGTTCAATAACTATTAATTACATAGGACACCAATAAAGTGGCCTTTATACACAGGTGGATTTAATGAAGAGGTTCAATAACTATTAATTACATAGGACACCAATAAAGTGGCCTTTATACACAGGTGGATTTAATGAAGAGGTTCAATAACTATTAATTACATAGGACACCAATAAAGTGGCCTTTATACACAGGTGGATTTAATGTAGAGGTTCAATAACTATTAATTACATAGGACACCAATAAAGTGGCCTTTATACACAGGTGGATTTAATGAAGAGGTTCAATAACTATTAATTACATAGGACACCAATAAAGTGGCCTTTATACACAGGTGGATTTAATGTAGAGGTTCAATAACTATTAATTACATAGGACACCAATAAAGTGGCCTTTAAGACAGGTTGAAGTGTACATTTTAGTTTGATAGGTATTCGAGTGGGCTACAAGTGGAATCTCCGCTGAGAAAGCATATAAATTGTTTGATCCGGTAGTTATCTAGAATCGGGAAGTAAAAGTCAACATTGTTACCGGTTTTAAACTACACCATCCAGATTGATAAATCTAGTTTACACATTGGTTGTAACCCACAAAGCGGAGCTGCCGAAATTTTAAATGTTTTCACATTTAATTCATAGTTTGTGAATCGGACGTTTTTGATACAAAGTCGTTAGATAGTTAGATAGAGTAGGGCCAAACGATGAATTAAATTGCATCATACACCTATTTCGTTAATTAGAAAAATAAATAAATGGAATTCTTTTATAGTATCTATACTGTAAATAGAATAGAAGCGGATTAGATTGTGACGTTTCGATGACTATATGGTCACCAGACATATGACCAGTGTGAAGCTTACAAGCACGTATACGTAGCGTTTGAGATGGTCAGGAATTGACCAATTTTTTCGACCACTATAATCCTATGTACACTGAGGTCAAAAATAGTGTAACAAAAAATAAACAGATTATATACCAAAGGATACACCAGATGGTAGGAATCTACTGAAGTAAATTTGATTACGCTTTGTTTAATTCTTGGGTCATAGATGTTCGCGAGTTTGTGCCCCCTTGTCCCTGTTTAGTACTGGCACGATGCGGCGTATCCAGATCACTTCCTTAACCAACCGCATGGACAGTTTGTATTCCCTATCGACTATTTTGACATTTTCCCAGTCAATGATATAATTTTACTGTATGGAATGATTTGTAAGTGCCGATTTATTTATTTTGGACTGAGAATGTTTTCAAGTGAACTTTTGTCTTCATGGAATTTCGCGTCTTTCTGATATTCAATGAGTCGGGCCCCGAATATTCCATCTGTTTCTTCGCAAGATCATGCGATGCAGTTTCCTGCACCGCTGTATACGTAATCTGCGACAGTCTCTTTGGGTGTTTCATCCGTAGGATGGTCCAGAATATTTCGAAGAGTCTTGTGATGTTTCCTTGTTATTGTAATACCATGATCAAGGTAAATCCTCTGATTGGGTTTCTGACAGGCCTTAGATGTAAATGATGACTACTTGTCATTTCGTTTTGTTCTTTTCTTTGGTGTTACGTTTTAGAGTCGTTTTTCTTTTATCAAAGTTGTATTTGTCAACATCTTCCATTGTCTGATAAAAAGAAAGCAAACTGAGAACATAAAAATTACAATCTCGATGTTATTTTTGTTTTATTAATTGGAAGTTTTACCAATGACTGATCTTTGTATTCAATTATTATAGAATATTATACAAAGAGCAATGTTTTGCATGTGAAGGTTTTTTCATACATGTTACAACAATTACCAGACGATAATGTTCATATTTGGAAATGTGTTTGCGTATACAATATTCACATCTATCTGGCGAGTAAAGTGCCCCTTTCAGTCTCTTCAGGCTCCCAACGTCACTAACAAGTCCTAGTAGAACGAAATGGTTTTTTGATTTATTTTTTCTTTACCTGCTATTAAGGGCCAGGATCATCTAAGGACGTGCGGGTTTTGGTTGTGGAGGAAAACCGGAGTTCCAGGAGGAAAACAACCGACCTGTGACCAGTGTCTGGCGACGATCCCAAGTAGGCCTTGAACCCGTGATCCAGACGTGGAGACGATCAGTCGCCTTGCCAACCTGGCCACCATGGCCCTAGAAATAGCTGTAGGACGTATTTCAATTTGCTACTTAGCCACAGTGTATACCATTCTAATTTTGAATTGAAAGATGTTATGAATTGTGTAATTTTTGTACAATATTTACAATCCAATTACAAAGTCACGTCAATAGTAGCCTAATACTAACATAATGACACCACCAATGATGTGTTAATGGCGGGTATATACTGTACAAGCTCTGTACCCATAAATTAAACTGATGACGTCGGAAAAAAACGAACAATTGTGCAGTATATTGAAGCTTCATTGCTATACTCACATCTTCAGGTATCACGCATCCCAATGTGATTTTAGGTTACACATAAGCCCATGTCGTTATGCGGTATCAAGAAGCACGCGCAGGACCAATAGAGGTTGTAAAAGTTTATATAAACACTACAAACTTTCATGCCAAACATTGATACATGCTATGTTAAAGGTGGCTAGACAAACAGAGACGTCCAGGCTTAATGCCCCTACCGTGTAACAAATAGATGTTTAAGTGCATCAAATTAAAACACTTCCCTTTGAGTCAACATCAATAATCTTTTACGGAAACACAGTTACTTTGTTCTCGTTAGGAGTTGGTTTGAAAAAAAAATCCATTAGCTTCGCCTACAAAACATATTCTAAACAGACAAATAACGATGCACTGATTGTGTGAAATGAAAAGTTTTGTGTTATTAATCAGTATACATACATGTGTTTTTCTTTCTTTTGTCACTTTTAGCTGCAAATGTTTAACGTGCATCAAAAACATCCAAGAACAGCCAAGTCAGTTTGCGTTATGCAAGGGAGTATAATTTGATCTGAATGTGACGCTTGGAATTAATTAATATCTTTGATTATATGTATATTAATTAATTAATGTAATAACAGTAATTAATGAAATACAATAAAACACACATATTAATTGAATCTAACGATTGAACAAAAGATTCGCAAGTGAATAGAACCTATTAATACAATTTTTAAATTAGATATTGCACAGGCAATTAGTTAATTAAATTGACGCTTACAGTTGCTTCGTCCCTGTAAGACCCGTCAGTGACACCAAGGATATGTCTCATGAAGCCTAAGAGGAGACTTGAGAATATCCAAACAGATCGCCAGAAATGCTAAAAATTTAAATGCAAGGTGCACTACCGCTACAATTCAGTAAATTTCGTAATTGTTATATCTATAGTGAAACCAATATATTCTGAACCATGCCAAAATTGCATTGTTACTTTTAAATGGTAGTAGTGTGATAAATCGGTACACTTCTCTTAACATGATCAACTAATTTTAACATCTCGGAAATGATTTACGTCAAACTAACCAGACTTTACTGTAAAAAGCTCTGTTCCATGAAAACAAAGAAAATCAGACAAATAACGAGGTTGACAGATCTTCGACCATCCACGCCCACTGTTGACTTCATTCCCCATTCCTAAGAAATCCTCTGAAAACAAAACAAACCATCTCTTGTAACAAATTTCGAAAAAGCATCCTGAATTTGTCCAAACCGTCATTAAGTCCACAATGAAGATAATCGTTTAACTTTAAATAAATTGAGATAGTATCCATCCGGAGGTTTAGACATTGTAAAGTCAGGTAAGATGATTTGATAATCCAACATCTATTCACAATGTTGAGTTGTCACAAGCAAGTTCCATCTTCTCCGGAACAAAATCCTCCCGTCTTCTAGTCCGGATATTACACACTCCGTCGTTTATTGACAACCAAAGTCGGCCCTTTATTGAAATCTAATTAGTCACTGTCTTCACGCCCCTCGATACTCGATATGGACCCATCGGCCTAGTAACGGACCTATGTGAGGTAAGTCCCTCCCATGCTCGACTGTCCAGGATAAGGGGACTGGCTTTGTATTGTTTGTATAAGGGTAGACCTATATAGGTCAGAATTAATCCAGAACAAGAATATCTTCAGTTTTGACAAGTGGTCTTCAGGATGAAGGTTTTGCAGTGCGCTATTGTCTTTTTAGGTAAGTCATACGTTTTATTGATGCAAATGCCTCTAAATTTAGTTACATGTATATTTTTATGAGTGTTATGTAGGAAACTTTTGTTTTCTTTTCTTTTGATATTTTATTCAATTATCCAATTCATCTCTTTTGATAAAGATTGTCTCCATTTTGCCTCGGTCATGATTTACCATTGTACCGTGTGTTCACACTTTCTTTGAAATACAATTTTTGGTTAGCATGACATTCCACCCGTCATATTATACTGACTATGACATCATTTCTCCTTGATGATATTTATTTAAACCAGAAGGTTTTAATTGATTTAAAGTGCCAATTCTATGAATATTGTTTTGGAAACAGAACCCATATATTGTCACGGCGAACACTCAGCACAAACCAGAAAAGTGAAGTTGCAAGAGAAAGTTTCAGAAGAAGAGAGAAACTATTGATTCAGATTGTTCTTGTCTTCCAACTAAACCAAATTTTAGACTTACTACAATATCTGCGTATTTACTTAAAACGTTAAGTCGGAAAGAGTAGGTAGTCGGATGGCGTAGATGTAGTGCACTCACCTTTATACTAGCTGTCTTAGGTTGGATTCTCTGGACAGACAGGAAAAGAGAGAACGACGTTGGTTTTCTATAGGTATTTGGGGTTTCTCCGGGTATTTGGAGTTTCTCCCATAATAATTTTCGCAATTGCTGTAAAATGAAGTTTATATTATATGATATTATATATTTTATCATGTTATATTATAATAAATAAATGTCTGTGTCTATTCTGGATGTTGTACAGTTATGATATTCGCTAGAACTGAACAGATACCTATAACGTGCATCCTCGCTAATTGTATTCATTATGGAAAGATGCAGCTTTATGTTCAAGCCTAAGATTTTACATATCAGACATACACACTGTATATCTATTTTTAGAACAAGATATAGCATTTATGTATTGATAGTTTCCTATTGATGTAAGTATTTTGATGTGTTTACTTAACGAATACAGAAAAAAACATTTTTTTGTAAATATTAGGAAATAAGATTGAAATTTATTAGAATGATTGATTTATTGTCTCCGGTTTTGCTGTCATTGAGAAAAAAAACAGCAAAGTACATGTATTCAGTTCATGAACGAAAATATTCTGTATTGTTTCCAAAAGAGATGGATAATCAAAAGACCTGCACTGCATTGCTGTCCGTATGTGTTCTAAAACTTATTTATAACTAAGAATGCCTGTTAGGCATTCATTAGTCTCCGTGCAGTTCGTTCTTTTAATCATAATTATCCTAGTGGTTGGATTATGATAATGTTCACATGTTGGAGTTGTCCTCTATTCAGTTTGACGTTATCAGCGAGGTTTTGTTAACAATTTTGTGAATCCTGTTTATCACCATGTCCCTAAAATATCATCTGTGTGTACATTCGTTAAGAAGGTATCTGATTAACGTTATTAGATATGTTCCTAACGAATTTAAATCTAATTGACAGTTTAGATGTCATAATATGATAAATAAAATGGTAATTATAAAAAACTTACTTGCAAACTTTCCTCAAAACATGTCGAAATCCTAATGCAAGCATTATTGGTACAACGGTTACGTGTTATATACTTACCAGCTATTGGTGTAGTTTGTCATGTTTGTGGCAATCACATCCTGATACTGAATATCAACTCAGCTCAGTGTTGATTGCATATATACAGATTATTTACATTGTTTGTTACGTCCTCTGCTTGTAACAGAGATATCTTTCTTTGTTGATTAAGAACAACTAAGATAATATTTTCTATTAAAATATATTTGCTGAACATTAAAAACAGCATTATTCATACATACAGGTAGAAGACAAATGCGTTCTGTTAAGGCCATGCTATCTAACCATACAGTTGATGATTTGTGTCAGATGTTTGTCCTGATCCCGGCGTGTTGTCAACAACATCACACATACAACATAGACAGCTTTAAAATACACTATTAACACAGGAAAACCTTCGGTGTTGAGCCTAATCTATTAGCGTATTCAATGATACGTCACATTATCTGGTTGGAGTATTTCTAGAGGTTTTGAAAATCAAATAACTTCCTATGTTTTTTGTTTGTTTGTGTGGTTTTTTTGTTTGTTTGTTTTTTGTTTTTTTTTTTGTTTTTTTCTTGAAAGTGTATCGATCATCTTTGGATTAATTGGAATATGCCCCATTCTTTAGCGATGAATGTTAATAGTTGTATGTGGGTGCTTATTTACATATTCTAAATGCTTACACTTACCTCGAAGACAACACGAATACTGCATTTCCTGTAGCTTTAATGTTTTAGACTTTCAGATAATGGGACGAATTTTATGTTTCAGTAGACGTCAGAAAAAAGACAATGCGATAACAACATTAAGAATGACCTGAAATATTAGAAATTATTTCATATACTGTGATATGTTTATTTTCGACGTTGCGTGAAGACTATCAAAATAATTTAAACGAAAATTGTGCAAACTGCATAATGTATGTATTGTAGTCATGAAAGTGATAAGCAGCCTTCAATAAACTGCATTTTACGGCTGTTTTGCCTTTTTAGGACTCATCAGTAAACCTGATGGCGCTAATTGTTTAAGGGATGGACAGAGATAGATCCACGTTGATTATTTTCAGTGATTCTGATTGTCTATATTGTTGAAGGAGGTGGCTAAGGAATATCTAGAGTCATCGAAATGAATGCCATAAACTAGTCGAAAATGCGCACTAACCCTAAAATTTGATAAATTTCGTAATTCGTAATATCTAGTGATTTTGTATGTTCTGAACCCTGCCACTATCAATACATATTTTGTTAAAAAATATTACGAGTATCAACTTTATTTACGGTCCATAGTTAATACATAGAAACAGAAGCTTTTCTCGTTTTATTTCTGTTGTCTTCAAAATGCCCTATTCATCTCTAACTATTTCTGATTATTTTACAAAGACGGACTCCATGAAACTTTTCTCCATAGAATATCTTTTTTATATTATCAAAATTTATAGAAAGCTCGCGTATGATACAAAAATGTTTTTATTGCAATTCTTTTATATGAAAATTGCAACGTAATGTTTAATAATTTTTAGGTATGTTTAAAGCATGACGTTAACTATGAAAACTGAAAAGGCATTTTTATTTCAGTTGATGTAACGGGAAAGCAATGTTTTATATTCAATGATTGCATTTTGTTTTTTTTATAAGGAAAAGGGAGACTTTTCACTTTTATTCTGTTCAATTCTTTATTTCCAGTGCGCCAATGTATTTCAGTTGTTTACCGATATGATACGATAAAAACTAGATAGAAAATAAATGATAAATCAGTTTATTAAACCGTATAAGATGGGTTAGATCCCCGTCATGATATAAATTCATGGAATTCGTTACTTTTCATATTTCATTAATTGTTTTTACATTTACATGGATAATAATGTTGGAAACCGTACTGATTTCTATTAAAGCCGTTGGATGATTTATTCTGTAGTGTCACTCTATATCCAGTAAGCTGTTAAACTCACAGAGAACAAGCAGGGTCAGTTTGAGGCAATGTCTCCTTGTAATCGCTGATGGTTCATACCTCATTCAACAGAAATAATGGAGATACCTCGTTTGCCATTCAGAGGAATTAGGTTAAAATATCCTACCCATGTAAACTAATACATTTGTCATCTTCCGATTAGCTAAATATTAGATTAATTAAAATTGTGTTTATAGTGAGGATGTCAGGCTATCGTTAATATTATAAGTAAATACGACTGATGAATTGAAATGTTCGTATACTTAATGTATCAAGGAATTGAATATTGTTATTTATTTGAGTTTATTTTGAGCACAAGTCTTGCCCTGCTCTTTTGAAAGTATGTTTTAGAACATTCGTATTTGGAGTATTCCGAGACCATTTAAACCCTCATTAATATCTTTCGTCGAATTTTTCAAACATGTGGTAAAAAATATTTTCGGGGTGAAGTAATCGGAATGAATTTCTTGAATTACCATTGATTAATGCTTAACGTTAAATTCAAATACGTTATTTTGATTGATATTTGACATCAATAGTTACTTGTGATTTTGTCATTATCTGTTGAAATTTACAACCATGTACTTCTTACTAATTATCCTTTTGGTTACATTGTAGCAAATCACCATGCAATTACGTTTCTGTAAGTGAGTCTTGTAATATGTGAAATTGATATGATAGAGCGGTAGTAGAGCTGGTATATTCCAGTGGACAATAAAAAACTAGTAAACAAAATGTAATTGCATTGGTTCGTTGTAGAAAAATTAAAGGCTTTTTTATTACTAGAGAATGAGTTTCAAGATACGTTTGTCCATGAAAAGGAAGGGCGCGTTAAAGACGGGGCGAAAATATTATATATTTATTAACCATTTTATATAAATCGGTGAGGGCGAAATGTACATGAAATGAATTCATGTATAATAGTAAAAGGACAAGAACCAGGGGCGAAAATACCCTGGTATATCTTATCATTAAAAAGAAAAAGATAGAGAAGTAAAGTGTTAGTCATTGTGTGAAATCCTAGTTTATAATGAAAGAAAAAGATATAGACTTCATCAGCCGATATTAAACACTTTTTGCTGGTTTAAAGGGGAAATCGCAGTGTAGGACAAAATCAAAGATACATTTGATCTGACAGGTTAAGTCACAAGTTTTCGTTCCCTCTCAGTAATCTTACTCCTGGCGTTATTTTTTATGAAATGTTGTTTGAGTTTTTGCACCATCCGATTACGTTCACGAAAATATGTCTCCAAAATGAAATGACAAATTTACACTAATTTTTTTCTTTTTGTGTGTATGTGTGTTTTCTCTTCTTTTTTCTCTCTTATCTTTACCTGTTTAAGTTGCCTTTATCAAATATGTGTGTTGTTGGGCAGAAAATATGAATCGAATCAATGAATCATTGTTTGTTTCAGTTACCATTGCATTAGCGGCTTCCTGTAAGTATAAACACACTTCACATTTTTCGTTCCTAATAAAGTCAAACATTTAAAATATTTTCTTTCGATTAGTGTTTTGTCCACCATTGTACTTAATGTATTACAGTGAATAACAATACATTGTTATCGTCACTAACTATCTTACAGGTATACATATATACTAAATATAGTCAAATTTGACCCGAGTTGAAGACAGGTAACCATGTGTCCTATTGCAAGAGGCCGGAGATTGATTTTATCAAAACATATTTTCAATTACCATCATCGAGTGCAGATATTAAATGTATATTTGATGAAATATTTACGGGCAAAGTTTTGTAGTCCTAATTGAACACTAACTGATTGGCTTCCAGACATGTTTTAATGTGATATCTTATTTACTACCATATCCTGTTTTAAAATATCTTAAATCTACCTAGGTAACGAAAGAATTATCCCTTGTTAATGTTACATTGTAGAACGCTTAAAAGTTTTAAAAAAATATTTTGAATTTTCATTTGATGGCCATTTCGACATCACTGTCGCCTCATGTCATCGTGCAATATAGACGTTATAAGACACTGTAACATAATATAACATCAATATAATTTACTTATGTAAATAACAGAAATCAGTCATTTCCAGTGTGTATAATTTCTATTAGTGTGATAACGCACTGCAAATAGGAAGTCTTTTTAAAAAATATTACCCGACGTATAAGCGCTAGCGGTTTTATCTGCTCATTTTATCAAAATAAAAAATGCAGATTGTGTTATCATCAGTTTAGATTGATATCGACAATAACTCCTTTTTTAACCTTCTTAAGTAATGTTATAGGGTTTAAATGGCTTCCTGTTTTGCGTAAGGATTCAAATTCTAAACATTCTAAGTCAAGAATGCTATTTAAATTCTTGGTTTTGAAATAATTTTTTTTATTCTCATGATTTCTGTTTTTAGCTGATCCTTGCGCTCAAAACCTTGTAACTGGTCCATATGGAGTACCGGATGACCACATCACCGCTTCAAGCAGTCTGAACGGAAATATCTACGCCGGTCCAGAACGAGGACGGCTTAATACAACAGCAACGCAACTAGCAAACGGAACTTATCTTCAAGGATCATGGGCACCTACTCAAAATTCCAAGAAGGAATACATACAGGCGAGTACCTGAACGATCTTTACGATGTAAAGAATGATAGATGTTGATCACAAATGTCTTGTCGCCTGTTAATGAGAGATTTTTGTTGGATACTTTTTAAAACGTCTATTGAAGAATGATTTTCATTTCGTCAAATTAACATATTTCTTTGTTTTCGTTAATTTGTCTCTTTTGAAGTATAATTACTTCGTTTTCCCCGTTAAATACTCACTATATCATTATTTGTGTATGTAAAGAACTCATCGTATTTAAAGTCCTTTGTTATAAACTTTGTTGATTTTTGTCGCTTCAGCAGCTTACCTATATTGTACTTTACCTGTACTTACATAGCAAGTAACAAAAAATGGCATGAACATCACTGAAGTAAAATATGATTCGTCCTTGCCGAAGGCACGTGGGCTTATTATCATGATCAATTCCTTATACGCTGTATCCGTTTTTCATAGATAATGAGGCCGGGCGTTTGTTTTGCGTTGTTTGTTTATTAGTATTCTCTACTTGACGAATAAAGCATCAGAAAAGAGAAACGGGGTCGAAAAAAAATATATATCAAATCATATTTGTTATTTAACGAAGTTTTTCATTTGCTGATATTTTGTTTCATATGCTGAAGAATGTTTAAGTTCATTGAATTTTATCAATAAAGAAAATAAAATGTGGTTGATGAATCTAAGGTACATAAACTTATATTATAATCTTCTATTATAAGTTTAAAATGTCCCACAGGTGGAATTGAAAGATGCCAGTCTTGTCCGTGGAGTTATGACCCAAGGTCGAAATATTCTTCCAAGTGAAAACAGCGTAGAATATGTCAACCTGTATCATGTAGCTACTAGCATGGACGGCGTCAATTTCACAAGAGTGACCGATAGTAATGGCAAGGACAAGGTCAGTATGGTCACTATAGTTCAATATTTTATTTTATCAAATCAAAAAAGTTATTTTTAATCCGTCGTCGGTTGACTAAGTTAGATTAAAATTTTACAGGAGTTAATTGATACAGTCAGTAGCTGTTCTCTATTTTGATTTCTGTTACCTTGAAGATCATGGCGACATCAACATTCCGTATGCTTACCGTATGAGTTAGAAATGGCTTTATTTGCTCAGGAATAGTGTGTATAATTCAGTAAATTTAAAAGGTCGGGACAACTGCATGATGCATTTATTTCATTGTTTGACTCCTCTCTAAAATCTTATTAAAATGTCAACTACACGTGTGTCTTTTTGTACAACCTTCGAGATTGTAAGTGGTAGACTAATAATTCTAAATCTATATAATAAGGAACTATTCACGGTTTTTTTTCTCGTACAAGCCTGGGTCTGTAGTAACTATTTGAGGTGTGACATATAAATTCAGGTATTATATAAATGTCTCTTTATCACATCCAAGTCAGAATGATAAATATTTGCAGATCTCACTTTAAATTTTTTATATCAGTTTTTTCAAAGAGCCATATCAATTGTGATGTTGTAGAAATAACACGGATACGACAATCTCAGTATCTTCTGAAATAATGTGTTGAAGGATGTCCTAGTTATTTGACTGATTCTTTGTAAATATATACCAATTGATGATTATTTAGATCTTCCGTGGCAACATGGATTCTGATACCATTGAATCAAGCACTTTCCCATGTCCCGTGTTCGCCAAATACGTCCGCATCATACCGGAAGCTTGGTCCCAAAATATCTCAATGCGGTTCGATCTGTTGGGATGCCAGATTGATCAAAGTCAAAAAGGTACATAAAATGAATTCACCCCGATTATGTCCCCTGCTCGCTTATCATCGCTCAAAGTATACTACTGCGAAATCAGTATTTTCCATTAACACGATATCTGGTATCTCTTTGTGTGTACTACATATGTCTTTTATTTCGAAAGTACACAAAAATCAGCAAAACCGTACCTCGGATGTAATTCAATTCTGCGTTGTAATAATACAAGAAAACGGAATCATTTTGGTTCAGCAAGATAACCCGAGCTTTCTAATAAACACGAGTCTTGTTTAATATTCCGAGAGAGACCTTCCCATTTTTACATAATCCTGATTCTGTTACAGCTCCCGTGACAACCATGCAACCTCCGACGTCAGCTCAGCCACTGACAACTGCACAAAGCCAGCAAACGACATCAGCTCAAAGTCAACAACAAACAACAGTTCAAAGTCAGCCACCAACAACAGCTCAAAGTCAGCCACCAACAACAGCTCAACAGACCACGGCTAAAGCAGCTGTGACGACAGCAAATGCCGCCCAAGTGACAACGAATGCAGGAACAACATGTAAGAAATTAATATCACTATGAACGTATAAAATATTTGAGAGTTTGATTTGAGCAGGAAAATAACTAGACAAAATTGCACGTGTTTACAAACATTTTTGCATGAGAAATAAGTGTTAAATATAGGTTTTATTGTTAGTTACAGTCAAAATGTCGATTTACTGTGTAGCTGATAATTTTCACGGTTCTAAAATTTCGCGATTTTCTTCTTAAATGTTCAAACTATATTTCAAAAATAAGAATTTCACGATTTGGATGTAAAAGGAAGTTTAATACACACGTGTCATTATTCCAAGTATAAAAATTTCGCGGTCACGTTAATGTGCCGTGAAATAGCGAAAATACCATCCCCGCGAAAATGATCAGCTCTGCGGTATTTGAATTTCTTTACTTTATTATGTGGTCATGTATGTATTGATAGATCGATAATTGAATCGAACATTTTTCACTTACAACTATCAACATCATTGATAATGAAATATTTCGGTGATACCATTATTTCTATTGTAGCTGCAGCACCGGTAGTGGCTACTCTTGCAGGAAATATTCCGGCTGTCCGTAAGTACAATATGCGTCCCTCTCCAGCGCCAACTTATTTCTATACCTCTATTTAAACCAGGCAGAAAATATACAAACTTTTGTTCATTGTTAATGATGAAGGATGATTTGTCATTCCAGCAATACTTAAAAGTTGTGCTAGATTTTAGTCACACATAAGTAGTTGTGATTGTCATTTATGACAAAGCGATAGAGTTTCAAAGTGATCTTCTGATAAGACAACTATTTTGGGTATTGGAATCAGTATTAATAAATCAGGTTACAAAAGAAATGTTGTCGATCGCACATATTTGTTATATAGAAATAATTGCATATTGCAAACCGATTTCTCTGGATATTCGGTACAAGGTCCAACGTAGCTTAATGGTGTATATCCCCAGTCCAGTAACAGTAGAAATTAGCATTGATTGGGACGAAATTAATTAATGTTTTGGAAAGTTGGTATTAGAAACATTTCCTTTTTGACAGTTTATGTGCTCGGGAAAATATGTTGGTCTACATAATTTCATACACTTCCAGCTTGTGTTAGTGACTGCAAAGGAAAACGCAACGGAGACTACCAGGGCTGCAGCACAACCCAGAAATCTTGTAACATGCCAACTTTTGTGACGTGCTCCAATGGTATACTTTACACCATGCCATGCCCAGCAGGGCTAGTCTGGAATGATGCAGCGTCGTACTGTGATTGGCCAAATCCAAGCTGTTAGTGACACTGGAGTTATTCCCCTTTATATTACGTCACGTTGCCGGGGATGTGACCAGGGTGAAGTGTGTAGACGATGTCAGTATTGCTAACATCTGGAACATTTATAAGGATATGTTTTATGAAGACATGATACGGTATATTTTGAAATTTGATTCTAAAGTATGTGATTTATTTATAACGTTTGATTTTTATTCTTATGGGTGAGATTTGTGTAAGATATTGTTTGATATGTGTATTATACAAAATCTCTATGTGCCTTCGTTTTTTGTTTTTGTTTTTATTAATTTCTATTACTTTGAAAATCAACCACAACGTACATTTTCCCAGTCTTTACGACGTAGTTATCACAAAATAAATCTTACAGGCTCTTGAACTTGTTTTTAGGTCAAATGTCTTAAAATGTTTGGCACTATGACAACGACATATTCGATAACATTACTCCGACAATGTAACGTGAAGGTAACCTCTTTCAGATATATTACTTTTCAAGACTGTCCTACTAATCGTCAGCGACATTCTACGTCATCTGTACTGACGTCATAAACAACTTCGAAAAATTATTTTGGGGTTCTTGTCTTAAACATTCCTTACGTGTACGTTAACATGTGTCCCCCTCACCCCCTCCTTTATGTTATGAATAGACAATCTGAGAACAGTCCGTAAAAGATGTTCATTGTTAACACTATTTGATAAGGATAACGCAAGTCACGTGATCTCATGACCCCGTTGGAAGTATGTGTATTTAACATAACTTGTGGCTGCCGTGTTATAAGTACTTACACTTTCCTTTAAGGATTTGTTTGTTCGTTTGTTTGTTGTCCCAAGAACATCGGGTTAGTTTGAGGCGGTGTTTCCTTGTAATAAATAACATACGGGAGGACGTACTTTGGATGTGTCTTACATTTCTAGAGCAGCGTGAGATACAGAGAAACACAAAATACAACATCAATGGTAATAGTTTAATATGGTTGAACATGATGTAGTTATAATATCAAAATCGGTATAGATGAGTACCCGGATGAAGAGAAATCTACCCGCGTGCAAATCGTGCGCACTGGTTAGATTTCTAACGAATTAAGGCACGTTTACATACAGGTAGATGAAACATGTTCACAATCCTTCTTGGTATCATCCCACATAAGATTCGCTGGGCAGTCTCTCAAAGTAGCTCCATTGACGGAACAGGTCACGTATTTTCTACAATCCGTACAGGCCTGGAAATCTCCCTCGTCCGTTCCACACTCCAAAACATTGTGGATACAACGTCCTACAAAAATATCATCTATTTATTGAGACATTTCAAAAACGGACATAACTTTCAAAAATTGTGTAATTCAGGTTTGATATCACATAATTACAATAAAGACGCCATCTACGAAAGCGAAAAGTTCCGGTTATTATTTTTTTTTCTCAATTTTGTGATATCTCGACTTCCTGGACCAATAACGCACCAATAAAAAAATAGGTACATTACATTTCTTATAATTTTGGAAAAATCTACTAATTTCAGAATGGGTAAAAATAACAATATGTTTATTTATAACAAAACCAACATTGGATTTGATTTCATACGAAATATGAATCTTGCTCGATGGAAGTAAGGGTTTTGTGAATTCTAGATTAAGTTGGGACACGTGTAAATTCAATTTATATAAACTTTTTCAAAAATACTAACATCTGCAAAATATTGCATTGAAATATATTGAAACAATGTACACTAAAGCCTGTTCGTCAAAAGATTCCGTTCAGTACAAAACATCAATCTTATTACACCGTTATGCAGGATGCAATTTGTTTTAGATATAAATGGCTAAAGGTACATTACAATTGGTTTTAAAAATATAATACACAGACAAACAGGTAATACCGAGCATGGGCAAACGTTTTTTTTTAAATAAAGATATCATTTATGCTCCATGCCTATCTACTTCCGGAAGATTTTTTTCTGTGATGCATAAAGTCGCATTGTTTGGACAAATTGTCTTGCACGTGTCACCATTATAGAGTTTTTTATACTTATATACTCCTTTCATCTAACAATGATGAATTCTAACAGTACATCCAATATTTTATTATCACGTGATGGGCCAAAGTATCAAATAATACTACAAGAAATGATGAATATTCCCCCTGGATCGAAAGTCGGTCTGTTTGTTTGTCTGTTGTCAACTTTAACCTTGCCCATAACTATTGCGTCGTAATAGGTCGGGGTTTCAAATTTAGCATGTGCCTTCCTTGTGACAAGACCTTTCTGCTGGTACCAAAATTGTTACCATGTGATCTTCATTTTGTTGCAACTGGATGCATAATGTTTCATAGACACATCTTCTTGGTTCATTTGTTTGTATCTAAATAAAATGGAATCAAAGAAAAAAATCACATTAAAGGATATTCGAGTCTACATACCAGTGCTGACGACAACTGGAGAGTTTGTGACACCTGATGGCAAGGTTGGGGCCAGGGTTGGAATAGCCATACGACAAGCTCCGAATCCAGCCATATCAAATGGCTTGTTGTAGGTACAGACCATTGTTCTAGACATCATGGCAGCATCACCTACAAATCCATTCCCACAGGACGCAGTACATGTCCTAACAAAAACAGACATACTCGTTAACAAATATAATACCGCCATAACGTTTTTACAATCTAATCATTAAAAAGCTATATATAAAACCTCCAGTTATAGTTAGTTCTCAACTTGCCAAATATTTTTTTCGTGACGTAATTAATTTACTTTTGATATGTAAGTTTTGTGACATATTATTTTCTGATATATACACGTTTTCTGAAACAAATCTATCAGCTATGGTCACTGCAATAAAAACCAACAACTTTTTATTTCTATCTGTAAAACTAACGTATTTGATATCAGTGGTGTTTTAATAGAGAATCATTTAAAAATATATTGATAGTTATTATCACATAGATAGATTTTGCGGTAATATTTCATTCGGGAATTTTCGCGCCTTGTCGTAAAGCCGAAAATTTCCGAAAATGTCCGATTATTGTATTCACTCACAGATTAGTATAGTTGTATGCACAGTCTACGCGACCATTAACAGGAGCATCCATTGGCTGACAGGCAGCGATTAGGTTGGGATCTGTAAACAAAGAAAAATAGTATAAGAGCAATATATATATTTATCTTTTCTCCTCTATAATTTGTTTATATTTACAATACATTACTTGTACAGACTAAACATTTACATAAACTTTCACTCACAATGGTTGTTCCAGAGGCGATAATCATTTTTTTTAAATCTTCATCATCATCATCATCATCATCATCATCATCATCATCATCATCATTATCATCATCATCATCATCATTATCATCAAGATAATCAAGGCCATACTTGTCCGCTTATCAGTTTAGCCTTAAGCGCCAATTTAAAACTTTGAAATCACACCTTTTTCACATATTAACGTTTTAAAACAAAAAATGGACAAAAAAGTATTAAAAATAAAAAAAGAGTCTTGTAAAAAATAGTCTGCGCCATCAAAATCACTGTCCTGGAAACAGATCGTAGTGACGATGGACGAATGGCGAATATTTCAAGCCAGAAGCATTAAAAATGACATTTTAGTGTCTTTTTCATTAAGTCTAAGCAGCAAACAAATATATATGTGTACATGTGTATTTTGCAGACTCGCTGCATATATTGTGCAGCATAATATGAGGACGCACACACGGGGATCTAATGGATAATTACAATTCTTCAGTCCAGAAATCTTTTAGAGCAGATGGGGTTTTAATGCAGGTGTTAACTATGGCGGGAAGTATGTAGGGTGGTCCTTTAACGCAGGTGGTCTTCTAATAGAGGTGATTTCTCTAGAATTTTGATAGTTCTAGCAGTAACTATTCTTGACATCGAGAACGTCACATATGATGTATATTGCTCTATAATATAATACGATGTAAATGAAGCCAATGTACTGGTACATTATATAGGGAAAAGAAGGGAAGTAACTCTAGCAGATCAAAATGTGCATCAGTTGTCTAACCTGTAAGACCTGTTAGAGTAACCTTAATATGCATTTCTTTACACTCTTTTCCTGTCTAGGGTTATGATCCGTCAAGTGATTTATGCAAAATGTACGAAACTTACTGACAAGTATTTTTCAAAGTGTCAGATAAATATTATTCTTCATTAAATATGTCACGTGCTACTTACCAATAAATAAGGGTTCTCCGAGGAGATCAAAAGGCATAGCAGAGGCTGTTAGCACTAAAGCAAATCCTGAAAATATATTTGAACGGAAACAAATTTATTCAAGTGTTATATACTAGTTTGTTTATTCAATATCTTTTCTGCTGTGGAACGATCAACAGATTATATTTTTGAATACCGAGAATCGGCCAAAATTTCTATTATTGAAGGTCGGTGACGGCAATCTCTTTACAAGAAACAAAGCGGTATATTTTGTCCATTGTCTAATGCTGAAATATTGACTAATGTCAAAGATGTAGCACTATTGAGCAAAAGAGCTTGGCTTTGTTGTCCTTTATGATAGTCATTCACACAATAATCAGGCACTTTTTCTTAAAACGATTTCTTTGTCTAAATCTTCTCGGAGACATTTTCTTAAATCTCTGTCACAAAACCGCCATAAAATTATCGTTAGATAAATGTAATTCAATTTTCTGTGTATCAATTGAGCATGATATAAATATATGTAAACACTAATTTCCATATTGAAATGTATGTGATGAATTACTTAAGGTTAAGAAGTTTGTCGAAAAGGATTATAAACTATATCGTATATTTTTTTGTCGCTATACATGTTTAAATCACACCGGCTAGTCGGTCCTATGAATAATTACCATGCTTATACATGCTGTCATTGAAAAGGAATCGATATTCTACCATGCTGAATATTTCATTTAGAATATGAAAATCTTTTTAATAAAATTAATATCCGACCTGAATTTTACAGTATACGGACTTTTTCCGTTTCATTGATATTGATAAACTTTAGAGAATGAAGTCTTGTTTACAAAAGTCTACAAACCCGTTAAAGCTGAGAGTGAGTACATGATGAAGATTGTCCGTTAATGTCCGTCCTGGGTTGTGCGAGCGTTGGAGGGTACTGGCTGAGATGTGGCGGGTCATGTATACAAGTGCGCGACCTTATCTCGGCCAATATCGGCCCCTAATCAGAAGAGATGTCCCGATGACCATTTCATCCTATCTACCGTAATAAAGTCAGGTGTCACGAGATAAGGCACGCGCTTTTCGAAATGTTACGAGTTTTGTGACCCTCTTTAAAATGTGACATGTGTAATAGTATACCACGACACTGGTTTCGTCTGGTCTAACAAGAAATTTTGTAATACTTCTGTGAAACCATTATATCTTGTCGAGATAAGGTGTACGTAATACAAAGGCGACAGTTTCACAAGATGTCGAACTTGCAACAGATGTAGCGTGGTTAAAAATTAAGATATCAAAACAAAATGATAGCAAGGTTTGGACATTCGATTTCAAAAAATGTCATTATGTTTCGTGTATAAGTCTGGTCCGACCTTTCCCGACATAGCAGCATCTGGCAGTGATACGTGATGACAGCGTTCAAGCATATACATTTACATGTACGTAACAATTACAGACAAACCTGTCTAAGAAGTCAGTGAAGGGAGCAGAGAAAGTGACCTTTTAACAAAGGTAGCCGTTATAGTGAGGCTCAGTTACTATAAATTACATTACACAGGGAAACAAACAAGTGACCTTTACAGACAGGTGGTTTTATATAAAGGTGACCTTTAAGACAGGTTTGACCGTACGTGAAAAAGAGGCTAGCCATAAATAGTGTATAGCGTTTGTATGTTAGTGGTAGGGTTGGGGGTTTTCTGGTGGCGGAAAGGGGGGTATCTCTGGTGGCGGAAGTGGGTATCTCTGGTGGCGGAAGGGGATATCTCTGGTCTCGGAAGGGGGTATCTCTGGTGGCGGAAGTGGGTATCTCTGGTGGCGGAAGGGGGTATCTCTGGTGGCGAAAGGGGGATATCTCTGGTGGCGGAAGGGGGTATCTCTGGTGGCGAAAGGGGGATATCTCTGGTGGCGGAAGTGGGTATCTCTGGTGGCGGAAGGAGGTATCTCTGGTGGCGAAAGGGGATATCTCTGGTCTCGGAAGGGGGTATCTTGTGGCGGAAGTGGGTATCTCTGGTGGCGGAAGGGGGATATCTCTGGTGGCGGAAAGGGGGATATCTCTGGTGGCGAAAGGGGGATATATCTGGTGGCGAAAGGGGGTATTTCTGGTGGCGGAAGTGGGTATCTCTGGTGGCGAAACGGGGTATCTCTGGTGGCGGAAAATGCAAGATGTCCAATTATTTGTCTGGAAGCCTTTTGTTGATTTACAGGAATCTATTGCTACGTTTTCTTAAGCTTTTATTTGGAATAGGAGAATTAAACTGGTCATGAATGATTATCTTGTTTCTGAACCTCACCTCAACACAATTCCCATACGGTTTTTACCTAATTCAGTAACCATTTATGATCATCTTTGGAATTAGGAGAGCAGCGATATATTCTGAACTCCGAAAGTAAACGTAATAACTCTAACGTTGACACATGTAACTTACAGCACACTGCCACTGATGTTGGCCTGCTTCATTTGTTTTGTTTTCATCTTTTTCCCCCTCTTGATTTTACAATGTAGATACATGTAGATATATAATCATTAAGCATTTTTTATTTTCTTATCATTATTTTCTTTGATCAAGAGACCCAATTAAAATCACAAATGCATATTTCTCGTTTAGAGTATGCTGTGGTCAAAATAAAAACCCAAGTACCTGTAAGATTTTTTTTCAACCATGCAAGTTAACTTTTTTTCTTCCATCCAAGTTAACTTTTTTTCTTCCATCCAAGTTAATTTTTTTTCATCCATACAAGTTAACATTTTTTCATCCATACAAGTTAACTTTTATTCAATAAAGGAAATGATTGTATCATTGATGAATATACAAATATCTGTCTTCCTGAGGAGGTTAAGTTTCATTCTTATTCCGTTTAAGTTGGCGACATTGGAATGTGATTTTTACACATTTGATAGTTTGGTTTTATTACACGATATACATTTTGTATTTCGTGTTAATGAAACAAGAGCACAAAAACGTTCACAATTTACTACCCATAATTAATTCCTGAAATAACTATGTAACAGGGATTTCATCTATCATTTTTGAATGTGAATGTCTTCCATTTCGATTTGCAGATATTTACAATAGTTTCAAGCATTTTTGCTTTTTCCGGAAATAAGGACCGGTATATCGTTTAATATTTTACTATTATTTTATTACGTCCGGTAGTATTTCACTTGAGCAAGAGATAATTCGGGAACATGTTGTGTTGATGTAACAGATGTATATTACACCATGTCATCATGTATACCGCTAGATAAACTTCATGTTAAAGTCGATGTTGCTAAAAACAAGACCGAAGATGTCCCAGCTTTGGTAAGAGATATCACATTGAGAAAACCTAAATTGTGTATTAACCTACAGTAGACATACTGAAATCCCTTTTGGGATTCCTTCTTGGGACTCAGTAAATCGGACGTTTAATAATATCCGGCACCTCCAATATACGGCAAACGTCCCACATCACAAGGAAGGATTACAAAAGGGGTTATACATGTTGTAGATCTGTCAATGACTAGAATACAGTACATCTAGGCTATATATGTTGTACATGTGCATACTAGCTACGATGTTGTACCGGTGAGAAATTTCGACAAAAGTATTAAATGTTCTAATGTTCAAAAGTTTTATTTAAAATCGGCGCTTTAAAACAATAATACTTTACGTCTGATGAGCTATTACATCCGACACATATAACGTTAGAAAACATGCATTTTCATTAAATACGATCTACAATACAGTTTATAAAACATTAAGACATACTCGTCATGGATGTTTGTATGTTCTTTGCCTACATGTGTTGCATCTGCATTGTGACTTGTACAAGCTAGTGTGTTTGTTATTTTGAAGTGCACATTCCATCATTTTGGAGCATGTGACCTGAAAGATTGTTTTCCATATGTTGGGGGGGCCTAACATGCGGTATGTCTGCTGTGTTGTGGTATTGGAATGTGTAGGATTTTCTGTAATGTTGATAAGATTGTGAAGGTAGGTTGTTGATGTTTATTTGTGTGTGATCTTGTATACTTCTACTGAAAAACTTCTGAGGCATCTGATTTTGAGTTTAGGTAATTTTGAATGGGTGAGTAAAATTTCTTTCTTGAATTTTTGAAATTTTTTTGGCATTAGTTTCTACACAAAAGTGCCACGTCAGTGGACAGAAGTTGAAATTTGATAAGATGAAAGAGTGATAGATGGTGAGTTTGCCTTATCTGTGCAAGTATTTTCCTGTTTGATTAAGTGCATTTGGTTGTTTGGGTCCTTTTTCGCAGATGTTTGAGACGTGTGTGAAAATCTAACTGAAAATCTATTGTGACCTCTGACAACTTGACTTCTGGTTCGCATTTGATTGTGTTGTTTCCAAATCGAAAAGTAATGTTTTCTTTTTGTGTTTTTTGCCCATTAGCAATGGTATTTGAAATTTGTCTGGATTTGCTTGCATGTAGCTCTCTGCGAACCAGCGTATGCTATCTTTTTGTAGTTTATGATGTCTAAAGTTGTATGTGATTTACTAATTGTGTTATCATCGCAGTAATTTTAGAGGTGTTGTATGAAGTGAAAGATGTCGTTTTGAAGATATTAAAGAGGAAATTGCCTAAAATTGAGCCTTGAGGTACTCTTTTGTATGGTGAGAGAAAACTGCTTGTGTGATATCCTAATTTTACATTTTGTTTCCTTTGTTTGAGGTAGTCTGAAAGTAGTTGTGTTGCTGAGTTAGAGAGTCGGTATTTCTGTAATGTAAGCCGCAGGAGATTCTGAAGTAGACAATCAAAGTCCTTTGAAGGATTCATAAGTATATAGCCAACAAACTTGTTCTGGTCAAGTGCCACCTACCAGTCTTCAATGACTCTCACTAAAGCTGTTTGACACTCATATCCAGCTCTAAGTGCTAACAGGTGGGGTTGAAAACCACCTTCAAAGAAGTCACTAAGCTTTGTGTGTATGGATCTCTCAAAGAATATAGTCTAGTCATAAATTTGAGAGATCAAAATATGTATGTAAAATCAAGAAGTTTCTTTAAACTCAAGAGAGTCAAATTTTCTGAAAATCAATATACATGATCTCTTTATTGTAAATATGACCTTAATGTTACTGAATACACCGTCAATTTTGTTAAATGTGTCCAGAGGGGGTCGGGAATTAATATGAGCTCAGACAGCTCATGTAAATGAGTTATTTAGCTTTTAGTTGCTATTAGATAGAGCGCTACAAGCTACACACAAAAAAAATATGATTAATGAAAAAAAACATGTAACCCGTCCCCATGTCAATGTCCAGAGGTTATTACATATCATGTAGCTCATTTAGATGGATTGATTTGGCATTGAATCAGTTCAAACCTAATATTATGAATGATGTAAAACAAAATCTGTTCAGTAGAACAATAATATATATAGGACATAGAAATTACGATATTTGTGATCAATATGTCTTTAATGTAAAAATTCAACTCCCTCAAAATTTGGAGCTAAGTTTAATATAGAACTGATTTTAGTGCATTCATTTAACAATTAAGAAACTGGAACCAAATATATAAGGGTGTGAGTATGTATTTCTGACTTGCACAGACAGTGTTCTCTTTTCATTTTTAGCATCCTCGATGGTCACAGAAGATCCAGTTTGTAACGTACCATGCTCCACCTTTGGACATCAGTGACCGTGGTCAGTGTGAAGAATGGGCTGACCGTCTCAAGTTCATTGAAGAAGATCTGCACTGGGCACTGCAATTGCCTCATGATAAGTTTTGGTGTCAGGTAATGGAAGTTGTAACATACGTTAAGCAGATTAACAAAAAGAAATTATAGAGCTGACGTCAGTTCCGAGTGAGTTTGATAAATTGGGGCGATGTGCCTTGGGTGTGAACACAAAACGGTATGCAGGGCAATGAAATGAAATTCAGAGATAAAACTAATCGACCAATAAATAACTGATAACTGGTGACACATTTTGTACATTATAATGGATACTTACATGGATTAATTTTATTGTTTTAAATTATCTGTAATATTTCTATTATAAAATTATTTGAACAATTAAATAGCTGTTGACTAATAAACTCTAGGTCTTAAGATGCAGATTTTTTGCCTTTTTTTTTTGGTCAAAAGGTTCAGTTATTACAGCATAGTTAAGTTGTGCCTCTCAGCTGGGTATCATGTTTTATAGCACTCGAAGTTCCAAAGACACAAAGTCTCAGCAGATCACATTGTCATAACAGTGTAGTGTTCAGAAAATAATGTGCTGAGACATTTTGATTCTCTCTTATGCATATATCATTCCTGTTTTTATTTAGGTTTAAGGCATTTGTAAATATTTGCATTATTATGGGAAAAAATCCCACATAGTTCATCTTTCCTATCATACTGGCTTAATTTATTCATCTTAGCATATGGAAAAAAATGTTGAATAATTCCTGGGGAAAAAGTTTTTTTTTAATGTATAGACCACTTCAAGATATTGACAGCTTCTGTGTATGCAGTTTTCTTCTCCACTGTATTTGAAGGATGGTAACTCTTAAGGGAGATATATATCATTGTTATTGTGATTAAGTATCAATATGGCTTCCTGTGTTTCTGCTGTGTCTCAAAAAAGTAGTCATAATGATTTTTTATTTTGTATTTACAGATAAAAAATTTAAAAAAATAGATTTTGATATATTCATATTTGTATCTATATGTACCATGATTGATGCATCTATTTTTCTACTTATAAAGACGACTAGGACTGACACCTCACCACATTTTTATAAAATGATCAACAACTGTATATATTCAGAGAGAAATCTATAGATTTTATCTTTATAGATGACTGTGAAATAAAACTTGTGACTTCAGATTGTGTTCGACGAGACTTTTATAAGTCTGATTGACAGCTACCTGCGCTATGCCCCAAGAACTCATGACATCTTGATAGAACTCCCAGTGGACACGAAATCACGTCATGATGAGGTTCATCGTCTTGTGTTCATGACTTGTCTTCGTATGGCGACACATAAGGAATCAAAGGTAACAAATGATAAATTGTTGTGATATTCAAGATCCTTCACTTCTCCTATTGCTTAAAAATTGTTGTAATTTGTTATTTTTTCCCAAGTAGACATGTACAACTTGAATATTAGTATTGAGAGTGCTCTGATTAATGTTTAAAGGGTAATTATAATATAAGTCAGTTGGAATTGTGAAACCACATGGTAGTGATGTACAAATTTGTGGATTGTTTATCTATCATAAGGTTTTACACACCCACGTTTTATACCTAAGGTATCATTAAACCCAATTTCAGCACAAATATAGTTTACACCATTCAATCAAAAATATTAATTGATATACAATTTCAAAATTAAATGTTGCCTGTAAGTTATTTTCTTGGGTAAATTACAAGATTAATCTTCTCTCACAGATGTTGAACATTATTAGGTAATTCTGTTTAGATGTCTATGTGTAAATTTCTTTAAAAATTCCAATAAAACTGCTATCTCCTTTCAAATATGAATTAGAGGGACTTGTACTAAATTTAGAAACTTTGTTAGTGTGGTAGAAATAATTCATTACATTCTTGTAAATTTTCATGGTATTTCTTGGTGCAATATTAAATCTAATGTTCAGTGGACGCCTGTTCAGTATAGTACAACTATAGTATTGATTTTCTAAAACTTTGTCTGACATTAATGATATAATTATATATATTGTTGTTTTACTTAATCTATAAAACATTAATTTACAATGTAGTCCACATTTTCACCATAATTTTGGTGCCAAGATTTTTTTTAATTGGAATTACTAACCAATATACAGTTACCCAAATTAAATAACATAGCACTAAAACTTCATTTTGGAACTGATGCATAGTTGGATGTAAATTGTTCTTGATTTTTTCAATAAAAGTGAGAATAATGCATTTCTCAATTACAGGAACATCACATTACTCCAGGCGTGTTTGGTGAAATCTTGTATGAGAACTTCCTGTTTGACATACCTAAACTGTTGGACCTGTGTGTTTTGTATGGCGAGGGAAATGGCCAGTTACTGTACAAGATGATTGATAATATATTTACCACTCAGCCTAAATATAACTATGATCTTCAGAACACAATTCCAACCATTCTGCAGGTGAATACTTCACTTTGTAGTCTAGATATTACCATGACAGGTGAGTGCAATGTTAGGTCTTTTGCAGTCACCAGGACTACCACCTGGGATTCCTGTCAAGAACATGTGTTGTATCCTTGGGCATTATAATTTAATAGTCTCCACTAATTTGGTAGTGATAACTTAACTTGTTAGAGCCTTGGCCTGTGTAATCTCAGGTGAGGATCTGAGGTGAGTGATTAGATGCTTCCTATTCGTAACGATTTGTATTTCTCAGGAAGCTGAATAGCCCACCTTTCTTTGCTTATATGTTTGTGTCCATGGGCAAATCTCTTTAGTCTGATTGCTGTGAATGGCGTGCGACATGCCTCCCATATGTTCAGTGAGGTAGCAATGAGCTTTTTTTAAAGAGACCCCCACCCATAATGAACCTGCCTGTTCATAGGGCAGTATTCCCAGCAAACAAGCAAGCACTGCTTGTTCCAGTTGACTCTGCTGTATAGCGATAATCACAGAGAATGATTTGTGAACTGGTATAAAACAACCTCAATTTACTATTATCATTATTATTATCATTTAAATATACTTTTTCCTGGATAGTATTTTTGACAAAAGACGGGTTTTATGGCTTATTGTATGGGTAGTACACCTAGAAATGTTGTATACTGCAAAACTGTATTTGAATTTGAGAAAGAAAGTTTTCTTTTAAAAATTCATTTTTCTTTCTTGTGAAATGGCAGGTATTTGATAATATTCGAGCCAAGTGCGGTGTGGCAGAAGTTAGTGGGCTGATTCCAAAGAAACTGACAAATCCTGGTCAAGAACAGACAGAACTGGTTACTATGATGGCTACAGACTTTCAAGATGTGGTATTTTATCTAGCAGACACTGGCACCACACTGGCCAGTTTTCTGGACGTCTACCCTCCTGCCTGTAGCCTGTTCTTTAAAGAAGACTTTGTACATCAGTACGTCAACAGACTTTAAAAATCTGCGATTTTAGAAAAAAATTAACTTATCAGTCTGATTCTGAGGTGTTTAGATTTGATAAGCAAGATATTTCATACTTGAATAGATATCCGTAATGAAGTGAATTGACTTACACTGAGTCAAGTTTTATCTTTATGATTTTTGTCAAAACTAAATTTCATTATTTATAGATGGGTAGGAATTCTCTTATCAATACACAGAAAGTAAGAATTTGAAAACAAGTACTAGGTACTTGTATTAATTTGTTTACTTATTCGTAGATTGGTGATGACACTGTTGCACTCATAATGATAGTAAATACATATTTAACAGGGATCAATCAGGGATTATGTAACTACCAATATTGAGTAGTTTCCCCTAGCAGCTGAAATTTTTATCTTATTGGAAGTTTCCCTTGAATCTTACAATATATTCCTCATTTTACATAAATTTACTGTATGAATTTCCTCAATTTCAAACGAAATTACTTTTTGATCTTTTAGTTTTATTGTTTTGGAGTAGAATTTTTTCTTATTAAAAAATGGTTTGAACTGTCAATCACAAATGTGTTAAAAAAATATCAATCATTTTCAGCCCAGGAGGCTTTCTTCTGTGGCCCTGTGGAACCTAGGCTATTTTTCCCAAGTCACAAAAAGGATACTTTCCCCTGTATTCTAGATTAATCCCTGATTACAAAGGAGGGTGGGAGTAGAGGTGTTTTAGGATTTTAAAAGCATGTTGGAACTACATTAGTGTAAGGAAAACCTGGTTGGAATGTGTGATTTTTGATAAAGTAGATTTGATAGAATGTAATACCATAGAGGTGTTTGAAATTGTTATTCAATGCATTTGAAAGGTACTTTTATGTTACAATTTGATTAATGGGGCAAAATTCTTGTATAAATTTGACTAATATTTCTGAAAAAAGTAAATTAAGATAGAGGTTGTTTAGCTTCTGTTTCTCTGATTCATTTGAAAATTTTAAGCAAAACTGTTATCTCAGGTTGATATTAGAACCAATGATTAAGATATGCTATGCTTAGTAGATATGTACAAACAGATTTTCGCGTACTTTGGCCTTATGTTGAAGGGCAAACTCCTGGAAAACTTATTTTGTTTTGAAATTATTTTCAGGAATTAAAAATAACATGCATTTTTTTTTAGATTTAATTAAGAAATAAAAATACTTTACACAAATCTATTACAGTTTGGCTCAGCTATATGAATCGGTGATTCCACAAATAGTAACATCACTCAAGAAACGCAAATTTGACAGCCACAGGTAAATTTTAATCTGATATAAAATATATATCCCACTAATTTCTTTTATCACACATGAAAATAGAAATGTCAAAAGATTTTTGTCTACAAAATTTTTTTTCGATATGATATATGATTTGCAGATTTTGGTATATGAATTTTGATCATTACGATGCCCTTTAAAGTTTAAGATTTGAATGATGGTTTTAAAATATTGATTTTATTTTCAATTTTATATTGTGTATCCTACTTATGATGTTTTTTTCAAAAGTCATGTACAATTTTCGCATTTAATTTTCAGTCATAAGATGCTGTTGAGGCAAAAGACCCAGGAAGCAAAGAATTCATTGTTGAAAGTTGTTCACCTTATCATAAACACCTGCTGCATACAGCCTCTACTGGAAAACATGTATGCATGACAATTTTGCATAATAATAATTTCTGTTCAAAATGATATCCCGGAATTAAAACAATAACAAACATCATTTTTAGATTTAATAAAAGTGATAATTTGTGCAGTATATATGGATACAAAATCTGTTACAGACTGGCTCAGCTGTAATTCTACCTACCCAGTAATTTAAGAACATTTAAAAAATTCCAGCCTCTCCAAAATTTTCTGTGAATTTTCTTTTTGTTCTATCATGGGTAATCTTCATCAACAAATTAATGGGTCAAGTTTAAAAAGATTTATTGTGCTAACTTTATCCATGCAATCCAGTGCCAATTAAATAGTCTTTATATGGAAAACCATAAAAATACCTGATTTTAAATTAGGGCAGGATATTCAGGGATTTGGGGTTTTATCATGCTTCCTATGTATACGCCATACCCTGAAATCTTTGTTTATTTGTAGTGGCGGTGACGAGAGAGTGGAAGATTTCATACATGTGTTTACTTCAATATTAAATGAACGAAGGTGAGGTCCGTGATGGAAACACTAAAAGATTATGCTTCATGTTTTGGCTAATCCAGCTAGTACACCTGGTAATTCATGGAAATTTCTATGTTAAACATGTTAGATTTGTCAGTCAATTAAAAACCAATATTGATATATAGCATTGAGTAATTCTAATTTACTTTATTAGTATGCTGATTTGGAGAGTTGAAACAATTCATTGTGATACATATCATTTTACAATATTTACTTCTATATTCCGTTTTCAATTTCTTTCCATTTCAGTATGATACGTCATTAAGTATTGTCACTCAAAATAGATGTTAAAGATATCATTTGCTGCTTGTCATCAATTATTTCATATATTCTTAAATCTTCTATAACAAGACAAATATTATAATATTTCTTTTTAAAGAAATATTTATTTAAAATCAGTATATAAAGATTTGAAATGCACTTCATGTCAGCATCTGGTTCTGTTATCAGAGTTTGTATGATTTTCAAAAATAATCAAATTGTAGAGTGTATATCGTGATGTGTATCATATCAGAACTAAAAAGTATCGTCACAATAATTTTTATTATATACTATATATCCTTCCCTAAACTGTCTGTTCTTGTTGGATCTTTAGAATGAAAGTCCAGTATGGATTTCACTCTCTTATGTACTTTCTCAGTATGCTATCATCCTCATTATGTGGTAATGTTTTGTATGACAATTATGTAATGCTGTCATTTCAGGTTCCTTGCTGATTTTGAGAGTCGTCACCGTTTTGAAAATTACCAGGAAATACTACTGCAGTCACCGATAGAAATGTATCCTTTTTATCTTCTTTGATATCAGTAATGGTTAAATATCTTGTAACATTTTGTAAGTGTGAATATCTGTAATGTGGACAGAGGATTATCTCCCTTTGAGCTGATCAGCCGTGAAGGAGCCATTTCCTACTGAGAGTTTGTAATATCTTGTTAAAATTAACATAACAACCAGGTGCTGTTCCATTTATGATATTAAAGATAGGAGAGAGCAGTTAATTAGTCATTATGAAAAATTGTTACCCCTCTCTTAATGAAAAAAATGTTGATTATTGAATGAAATTAGCAATGTTACAAACCATTGATGGTATTGGCAAAACTTTCACAGATATCGTATGACAATTTCAGAATATCTTTGTTTTTTCATGTCACGTCTGTCATATAAACATACAATTTTATACCATTGTAGGATTTCGAAAATGAAAAAAAAAGATAAGAAAAGATAACCAGTAGAAAAGAATATTTCTAAAAATAAATAACCTGTAAACATTGTGTTGACCCTTGACCTCAGCCAGTGATGAGATGAGACTTCAGTACATACAGGATGCTATCAGCTCAGCCTTCACTACTCATGGTCGCCGGCGGAAACCAACCGGAGGCACAAACAGAGGGGGCAGGACTAGTCCTGATGGCTCTCCAGGACCCATGGAGGATACTGGTGCTGTTGGAACAATGGGCGGGGCTACAGGTGGAGCAGTGGGCGGGGCTATAGGTGGAGCAATGGGCGGGGCTCCAGGTGGAGCAGTGGGTGGAGCAGATTTCACAGCTCATGCTGACAACTTCCAAGTAGAATCTTATGTAAGTTGGTGCTTCAATCTTGTATCTAATTATTTTATATACATGATTATATAATAAGCCCATGTATTATAAGCCCATACACATATTGCAGTGTCAATAGAAAATGTCAACTGATCCTGTAATTCATTGTCCTGAAATAATTCTTTCTTCCATGAGCAAGAGACTGACTCCCTGTCCTTATTGCAGGAAAGATATACATTTCTCTACAAACACAGATGGAAATGATTTTTTTATATCATATAATTTTTATCAGAAAATTTATTTGATTTCCTAACTAGCTGTGCCAATAAAAAGGCTCTGGACAATTTCATGTGACAATAAATTGTGAATGCCCCTGTGATCTACACTAAACTATGTACTTACTGACAGGTAATCCAGATGATGCCCCGTGGATATCCAAATTTTCTTACTTTCATATGCAGAAATATCTGCTTATCAATGTCAATCATTCACTGAAGGGACATTTAATGTTTAAATGAAGGAACAAAGTGATGCATGATGATATTAATAACATCTGTAATTTGACCTTTTTGACCCTGTTGTAGGAAATGGAAGGCGCCTGTGCAGCACGTAAAACTGGTGTGGAGTTAGAATCCCTCATCTCCTCCGTTAAAGACCTACTTCCTGACCTCGGAGAAGGCTTCATTGAGGTCAGTAAATAAACAAAAGAAAATAGAATGCTAAATTCAAAATAAAAAACCTGAAATCAAATTGAAAACAAATTTTCATTGGACTGGAATCATTCAGGTTTTTTTTCATATGAAGTTATAATTTCACAACAGAAATATTGGGAACCTTCAGCCAATCACAACTCCTCTAGGTCACATGACACATGTGTAATAACAGCAATAACATATAATGAGTGTTATTACTGTAACACTAATAACAGACTAGTTGTGTGAAAAAATTGATTTATATATTTTAAATTATGTAATATACATTATATGGCAGAAATGTAAATAATATGTATATCATAATCAAGAATTTTTCATCTTGGACTAAAAAAGATTTTGAGTCTTAGATTTGTTAAATCTGAAATTATACATAATGCACGAGTGTTGATTTTATTGATGAATTTGATAAAAAAGGAAAACTCCTGAGATATTGATTAGCTTTATAGGTTTATATTTACATTTTGTGTCTTAAGGAATTCTATCCTAGTTGTTTGGTTGGACGTATTTGTAGGTTTGTTTAGAGGAAATGGACTACAACATTGAACGTGTCATCAACTCGGTCTTGGAGGACAAATTACCGCCCTCCTTGCAAGACATGGACAGAAATATGCCTCGGTGAGCAGTTTTATTTGTAGAATTCTTCAATCATATTTGTTTCTCCATTTCCAATGATCTTTGTTGGTGTGTGTGTATAATTGATATAGATCTATAGTGACAAAGCAAATCTCATATCTGAGGATTTGATATAAAGGTAGTGTATGACTTAATTTTTATTTTGAAGAAAGCATAATTATGTTAGTCAATGTACAAACATTGTCAAACAAAAATCATAGTTCAAATTATCGTAATCTTAGATATTTACGGTATCGTCCGGATAATAAGCAGCAGCTTTTTTCCTTGGTGGTCGGGCATGTGGCTTATATGTGGAAGCAGAAAAGTAGGTAGGATGAAAGAAAAAAGCGTATTGATCGGACATTGGTTCCAGATCGAGCACAACTGTAGACAGAATGATTTTTAACATTGGAATAATAGTAACATTCTCGTTGATTTAATTAATCATTTCTTTTAAGATGATTTTAAGTTTGAAAAAAACAACATTCTCATGGAATTAATTAGTCAAACTTTTTGATATGAATCACAATAATATCTTCTGAACTTTCTGAACCATAGCTTAAGTTTGTTAGGTTATAAGTATATAACATCTCTTGAGAGAATGAGGATGAGTGTGAATTAGGATGTGCCCATCCCAACACACCTTGTTTGATGTATTCTAGAGAAACTCCAAAATTTAATAAGACTTAATTTTTTACAACTGCTGTTTGGTTCAAGACCTTAAGGTTTCTGTGTCAAGTTTATAGGTCAAAAGTCAAGGTCCCAGTAGATTGATGTACTTCCTGTCTTATTTCTAAAACCCAGGAAATGCTATGGTATATCTAGCTGTTTGCATGGGGATGATATATTGCTATTTCCAAGTACATTTGTACATGCAAGTGATTGTGAAAATTTAGTCAGTGAAATAATGAAAACTTTGTGTAGAAAATGTCCTTTTACATCCAGACTGGGAAATTTTAAATTTGTTGAAATATTATTTGATTGTTTTAAAAGAAAGTTACAAAAACTTTGACTCATAGAATGAACTGCAACTACATATACATGTACAAAATATTACGCAATGGTTGCATACATCTTGCATGGAGTCAAAGGTCAATTGTAAAGGTCCTTTGTAAAGGTCATACATCAAATATCAAGCTCACAGCATATTCCCATCCCATCTCTTTCACGTCCCATCCCATCCCTTTCATGTCCCATTCCATCCCTTTCCTGTCTCATTTCCATCCCTTTCCTGTCTCATCCCGTCCTGTCCTTTCTTGTCCCATCCCATCCCTTTCCTGTCCTGTCCCATCCCATCCCTTTCCTGTACCATACCGTCTTTTCTTGTCCCATCCCTTCCTTTCCTGTCCCATACTATCCCTTTCCTGTCCCATTCCATCCCTTTCCTGCCCCATCCCATTCCTTTCCTGTCCCATCCCATCCATTTCCTGTCTTATCCCTTTCCTGCCCCATCCCGTCCCTTTCCTGCCCCATCCCTTTCCTGTCCTATCCCATCCCTTTCCTGTCCCATCCCATCCCTTTCCTGTACCATACCGTCCTTTCTTGTCCCATCCCTTCCTTTCCTGTCCCATACCATCCCTTTCCTGTCCCATTCCATCCCTTTCCTGCCCCATCCCATTCCTTTCCTTTCCCATCCCTTTCTTGCCCCCTCCATTACCTTTCCTGCCCCATCCCATCCCTTTCCGCTTCCATCCCATCCCTTTCTATTCCCATCCCTTTCCTGCCCCCTCCATTACCTTTCCGTTTCCATCCCATCTCTTTCCTGTCCCATCCCATCCCTTTCCTGTCCTATCCCATCTTGTCATGTCTTGTCCGTCCTGAATCAGTGTCCTATCTTGTGATCCTCCCAACACAATTTGTTCATGCTTACCCCATAGCATCATAACATCATGTTCTACAATTGATCATATTTTGGTTTTAAGTAGGAACAGGGGCTTTCGTGTCCTATAGATATTTTGAAGTCGTTCACAGATATCAAACTGTTGTTACAGCCTTTTAATCTTTCAGTATACAAATCATCAGATCAATGTTGTAACAATGTTGAGTATGTGCTGATTGTATTTGACAGGGAAGTGTCACAACCTGGGGAAGCACCAAAATCTTTATTGGATGGTCGACGAAACGTGTACGATAATGATGAATTTGATGTGTTCAGCCGTGATTCTGTAGACACGTCTCGTATATTCCATGGGAAACAGTAAGTAAAAATATATATATATATATCCCAGTGCAAAATAATACTGTGAAAATATCAGCATGATTTCTTTACCAGAATTTCTTTTATCTTTGTTAATCATTGTTCATGTTGTCTGCCTGACATCTTTCAATCCTGAAACATTTCTTTTGCAATTTCTGGAGTAAGGTTGGATGGATATTTCTGAAATTTTATTTGTCACCTCCCATTGGCCCCTAGTTGTACATTTTTAATTTTAGGACTGACGGAAAAGAAGAAAATGATTGACAGGTAGCCATATTGGATTCTGAAATTTTCAGTTTATTGTTGTTATTCTTGAGATTATAAATGGATCTTCTTAAATCTAATGTGTGGACTCTCCAGAGTGTGTAGTCCCTCTTATGTTGTCCATTGTAGGAATTGATAGAAATTAGAGTAATAAGATAACCAACAGACATCTATCTTAGATTACAACAGTTGATGTTTATTGTTGATGATCTCCTGCCCATCATCCCCCCCACCCACCCACCCATCTCAAGGTCCTCTTTCCAAATTTTCAGAATGCTTTATCCACTTCTGAATATAAAGATACATTAGGATAAAAAGTGAAATATATACTCAACAAAAAAAGAAAGGTTAACATGTTTTCTTGGCGAATACCTGTAAATGAGTGAAAACAAAATGACGTTTGTGCAATATCAGAAAACGGTGGTGTTTTAGATGACAAAATCCAAAGGGGTTACCAAAATCATTCAAGCGTGAAAGTCTGTATTAACGAAAGAGCTGCACGAGGTTTTCTGCGACTTACTTGTATCTTCGCTTGAATTTCATAAACATTCAAACTGACAACTGTTCCTTAGATCCTTAGGACTTAGAAATAACCGAATCTTGCTATCTATCAACTTTATCATTATGCCCCGGCTGTCACAAGTACAGAGAGAAAGGGCTGTAGGCATGATCCAGGCTGGGGAGTCTCGCCATCGAGTTGCATGGCATTTTGGTTGCAGTGTTAAGACAATTTGCCAGTTGGTAAGTCGTTTAAACCAAACTGGGTCAACATCCGATCGTCCCCGAAGCGGCCGACCCCGTAAAACGATCGCCAGGGATGACCGTCGTATACGATTGATACACTTGTGTAATCGATTCGTAACCGCAGTAGAGACTACAAGGACATTGTTTGGGCGTCGTGTGTCCCCCCAAACAGTCTGCAACAGGTTGAGGGTCTACCAATTGAAAGCGCGGCATCCCTACACTGGACCCAATTTGTTGCGACATCACCGTACTAATCGGCGTAACTGGACCCGTGTTCACCGTCATTGGGCCTTACGACAACGGAACAATGTTCTGTTTTCAGATGAGTCCAGGTTTTATCTGCAACACGGTTACGGAAGGCGCAGAGTGTGGAGGCGACGAGGGGAGCGTTTTGGGAACTGCTGCGTCGCAGAACGGGACCGCTTTGGCGGCAGAAGTGTAATGGTTTGGGGTGGTATTTGTGGGGGGACTCGTACCAGGCTTGTTGTGTTAAATGGCAATTTAACCGGCATTCAAATTTTAAATTTTAAGACCAGTGGTTCTGCCATTCTTAAGACGCCATGGCGTTGGTGCCATTTTTCAACAGGATAACACACCAGCGCACACCAGTTGCGTCAGCAGAACTTTCTTGCAGCAGAATAACGTACAGGTGTTAGATTGGCCATCTAAATCACCTGATTTGTCACCGATTGAGCATGTCTGGGAAGTTCTTGGATGACGCGTGAGAGAACGTCAAAATTAGACGTCAAACTTGCAGGAGCTGGCCCAAGCCTTGATCGCTGAATGGAACAACATCTCTCCTCGAATTATCCGCCGTTTACGAGTTCCATGCGACGACGCTGCAATGCTGTTTATTTCGCAAACGGTGGCCATACCCATTACTAAGGGTGTTACCTTTGAAATTGACGCCAACGTCCTTTACAGTCGAATAAAATCAACTGAACGCAAAGTTTTATAATGAACCATGACTGAAGTTTTATCAGAATTGATCAATTACTTTATTCATACATGATTGGTAAGGATTTATGAAGGGGTTAATTAATTAATCACAGAATAAAGTAGTACTAACTTTCTTTTTTGTTTAGTATATATTTAAATTTTCAATTACTTTAATGAATTAGTTAATTAATTGTATTGCTGATGCTGAATATGGATAGGTATATTTCTAAACACGTCTTGTTGCTCCTGGCTGCCTATAGGCAAATAAACAGTACGTAGACATCATCACCATATCGAAATATGAAGTTAATTTTTTGCCAAATTATTCTTCTTTCCTTCCAGATTTGCCCTGAAAACCCCTACAGTGCCTTTTGCCCCCTGCACCCATAAGTTGAATTTTGTTTGTCAACACATCAAAATTGCTTGCCTATGTAGCCGGATATGTTAAACTCATTGACTCTCTTACAGCACCTAACCACTGGCATTGTTATGCAACTGTGAACGCCACTTGTCAAATATGAAGGGATATTTTACCCTGTGTAATATGTTATATAGAGGTGCATCAAGTTATTATTCAATATTAGCATAAAATATTTTATATTTCCGAGCTGCTGGTGAAGAATATGGTGTAGGAAGTTTTCATATAGTGTGACAGTGTTAACCATGATAACCTGCCCTTAGATAATGTCACATTCTGTTACAAATCAGTGTCATGTCTGAGAATCTCATGACACATTTGTTTTATATTTAAACCAGATTCTGGTTAGTATGGGAGCAGATATATCAAAGTTTTTTTTTTATATATTTTCTAGTTGTTAGACAAGGTGAGGTGGAGAAATCCAAAATTTTGTTGAACAACAAGTTGGAAGCATTAAAACTTTAATTGTATTATTTTCTATATGGCTGTTGGACGTTGTATATAAATAAATGAAATATGTCAGTACATAATGTAAATATTTTATGAAAGTCAAATTTTATGAAATTTTATGAGAATCAACTAAATGACAGATATTTCATGAAAATCTATTCATCATGTAAAATGATAGATATGTTACGAAAATTAATCGGTTATGTAAAAAAAAAAAAAATTGAAAGTATGTCTGCATTCTAAGACTCATTTTTATAAGAATGAGTGGCTTGTTGTTAGGCACTTTTCTCCTTAAAAAAGTATGGTGGTACTAGGGAAGGTACTGTTAAATGTGTTACAATTAGGTAGGAGTGGCCATGTTTATAACATCTTTATTCAGTACTTAGTTCAGTCATTAGAAGGAAAATTTTATAGTGGATATATGAATCAACTGTCAATGTCAGAGTATCAGCAGACATTTTTTGATTAACACTGATACAGTTTAATGTCTTGATTTGCCAAAAGTACATATTTTATATTTTTCTGTCTGCCTCTTCAGGTTGATAAGAAAGTGTCTGTTCCCAAAGATGATGTAACATGGTCTTACTCAATAGTACTGCCCATCCTATACTTACCTCAATCTTTTCTGTACAAAAACATCTTTAGCTTTATGTTTGCTGTCCTTCTAGAATTAAGATAAGACTGAAATAAAACATTATTATGTTTCATGTTTCACTTTATCTAAATATTTTACATATTCTAATTTTATATCTGGAGCTTGGGATAAGAAATATATTAAGATTATTTTTTTTCTAAGAGTGACAAAGAACTGCTTTTCAATTGATTAAGACTGAATGTCACTAATATACATCAGTGTGTTAATATTCTCCAAGAATCATGAACATGTGACATTTTTTTATGACAAAGAGGTTTTAATTGAGGCACTTGTGCCAGAATCACACTGGTATGCAATTTTTTTGTGTAAGTTTTCTATATAAGGATATTTAGATACTAACTTTCAACACAAACCCACTGTCAGGATACATCAGTTACATGTTGTAGACAGTCTGATAGCTAAGATGAATTTCTTCTCATGGCTTACTCAGCTAAATACTTAATATCATGATTTATTTTGTAATCTTTGACCTATGACAACATTATCTCATATCCGTTGTCTCACTCATCATTAGACTGAAGTGCTGAATTTCCTCAAGAAAGGAGGGTTACTGTAAATCTATACATTTTTGTGGTGCTAAAATTTCAAGGTTTTCATTAAATATCCATTTTTTTGCAGCTGATATTGTGCTTAAATCCTAATCATGAGATCAGATAGTACTAAAATCCACCTCAAATTTTATCTGTTTATTATTTTGTGGAGATATAAATTCCTGGATTTAGACTACACATAAATTCCACCAAAACAAATTGCCCACAAAAATTAATGATTTTACGGTATGAGGGTAACTGACTATCTAAAGTCCACAACAGTGTTGTTCACTGCTCTCAGCTTCAAATTTAATTTTTACTGATTTGGTGGGAAGGACTGCTGCTGTTTAATTAATATACGGAATTAAAAGTAAAGTCTTTGTAGAGACAAAAATGACTGTGGTTGTAAAAGTCAGTCACTTTGTTAAATGTTAATCTTTTATAATTCAAAATTTTGATTGATCTGAAATTACACCATTGTTAAACCACTCTTTGGTTAAAGAAAGTTGAGGTTTTGTTTACAATGTGATTTTAACGACTTAGCTGACAATAAAGCATGAATTGGTATCTTTATTTAGAACAGATAACCCCTGTGATGGGAACGCTCTCTAGGTTAATTTGTCCTTTATTAGGGACTCGGTAGGGTAAATGCAGAACTCATAAAACACCGGCGTTCAATGTCTGATATTTCGTAAAACTGCCTTAAAAAGATCAGGGACATAAATAAATGTTAATAGCTGGCTGTAGCTAATGTTTCATTTACCACCTCGCAAATAAAGATGGTCTAATCATGTGCTGATACACAAGGCATATGACCTTTGACCTAAAAACCACAATGAATCCTTTTGATATAAAAGAGATTTTGATTTAATTGTTTATTAAACTATTGATATTTTAGTTACATGCAGCAAACAACTGAAAGTAGGTTTCATTGTATAACACATAAAAGACCTGTGTATAAAGGCCACTTTTATCAAGTTTCATTGTTGCACAATTGAAACTCTATATAAAGGTCACATGTATATAACAAATAAAAAATAATCTCTGTATATTGGACATCTGTATATAACAAATAAAAAATCCTGTCTATAGAGGTTTTAATGCTGTAGAGATATCAATACTGGAAACAAGTGACCGATATACACATGTATAAATGGGACATTATTTTTTTCTCTGTGATAAAAGGCATGTTTAACTGATGACCATGTCATATTGAATTAAGTATTTAACATATCTTACAATTTGATACGACACTTTTGGCTAATAAATCAAGGATTTTACATGGGGTCTGTGTGATACAGAAATTATGAACTGAGTTCAATTGTTTAATTTGTCACAACCTTCAGGCATGTTTTATTCAATATTTTCAGCATTTTCTACTAAACAAGATGAATTGAATTTCGTGATTGGGATATAACAGAACGTCAACAACACATGTGTCTCATTGTTTCACATATCAAATTTTAGATTCCACATTAATATATGTACTGCAAAATAGCAAAAATATCATCCCCACAAAAATAACAGGCTCTACAGTAAGTGCCATATTACATTGGCATGAATGTAAGATTCTATTTATCAAATAAAATGTGTAGCTCGAAAATTTAAGAAAACTCTCAAATTAATTTTCCTTTATTTTGCATCAGGCTCTACTTCTTGAATTCCCGAGACAATCATGTGACATCATCCAGATGTGATTTACAATGGATCTTTGATATCACAATAGTGTCATTACAAATGTGAATATTTGTGACATGACCACCATGACATCACACAACAGGCCAGATACTGTAAAATCACATATTTTCATGGGTTTTAAATTTTGTGGTTTTCTTAACACATATTGTTTCATTTGCATTTGTTTTCATGGAAACGTCTTGCTAAGGAAATCCAATTGTGCTTTAATCCATGTAAACATCTCTCTGTTTGTGATCTTGTTGACACACAAATTGGTTGATTTAGAATATCAAATATATTAAACATTATATTGAAAATTATATTGTAGAACGTGATTTCAACTCTTAAGCTTTAGATAAATTCTCTTTGATGTAGACTTGAATGTGAAAATATGTGAAATCTTAGCTTGATGTGTTAATTTCAGAAATCTGTACACGTGTAGGAAACTGAAAATCTCTGATAATTTTTTTTCAGAAATAAGATGGACAAGATATCACTGGACGATAAGACAATCGGGTCAGAGGACAAATTCAGACTCAACGAAGCCTATGGTTACGTTGTGGAAACGGTGACTGCAGAGGAAGCATCACAATATGCTAAACTGTATGATGATGAGTATGATGATACGTACGACACAAACAATGTCGGTGCAGACGATGCCGACTCGGCTGATGAGCTGCTGCATGGAAGGTAGGTAGAGCAGAATAACGAAATATCATACTGTTAATTCAGAACTCATGTGTCAATGGTTGTCATAGTTTCATAAATATCTTAAGTATTTGGTTACTAAGCTAACCAATTGCAGCTGTCATCTGTTATGCTTCATAAAACATACAGATCACGCCAACTTCTTTTGCTTAAACCTCAATATCAATTAAATTTTTAGGTCATCCTTTGGTCAGATGACCTATTGCGATCGCCTTGCGTCCGTCACCCGTCGTTAACATTTTCAACTTCTTCTCAAGTTCTGCATGTCTCATTGAGCTGAAATGATCATGACATGATTCTGACCAAAGTTTGCTAATTTTGGATTGGTCCGAAATTCAACATTTTGTTTTTTTTGTTTTCAAAATCCTTGATCAAAGTTGGAACATAAAATAATGCAGTGATTTATTTGGTCTTGCTTGTCTTAAGTAACATTAGAATGGGACCAATTTTCATCTCTCTTTATGTAATACATGTGTTATGTCTTAATCTGTCTCCAGGCCACTTACCGTTCCAAGGATACTTGGAGGAGGTAACCAAGGAAGGACACAAAAGAGCAGTGAATCAGAATCACAGGTATGTTTGTTTGTTTTCTTATTATAACAGTAAAGAGTGGAACGTTTTTGACTGAGTGTCTCAAAAAGGAGAAAACTATGTACAGAGTTATAGCCCTTTGTTTGTTTTTGGATACAGATTAATGTTTTAGTTTTCATTTATCAGTTTCACTTCACTAAGTATATATCTCTTTAGAAGATTAATAATTAGTCCAACACTTGCTATAACATCTGGTGCTTGATGTCACAATGTTGCTATTAATAAGATATTGTGCTCACATTTTTTGTATGTTATGAGTAGAAAAACTGTATTTTATCCAGAAGAAACCCTGTTACCCTGGTAAATACTAGCCGCAATATACTGCTTGGCAAGAGAGAACTTCTCTTCAGCTCAATTGGTTGAGCGTCAGACTAGTAAGCCATGGGTCCTGTATTGGAATCCTAAAGGAGGCATTGAAACAAAAAAAATGACAGTTTGTAACTTGCTAAAGGACAAGACTGGTTGACAAATAACAAATAAATTAGGGAAACTACTCCAATGTTGTGGTTGATATCCTTACTTAATGTTAAATTGTAGTAACATGAAGCCTTATTGTCAACATCAAGCACTCTTAACTCTGAATGCACAGTGTGCTATAGCAACAGTTTACTCAAGAAATTATACTAAACATATACCTACAGGATTCAGAGGACGAGAAAAAACAACGGGATCACTTTGTACAAGATCCGGCCCTCCTGAGGCAGAAAGCGGAACAACGCAGAATATCACAGAGAAGAGGTCAAGGTCGTCGGTTTGGCCAAGGTCAAGGTAGAGAACAGGGCCAGGAGGGACAAAAGTATGATGTCAAGGGCAAGGCCAAAGGACAAGGTCAAGATGCAGATGTCCTTAAAAACAGAAAATTTAAGGAGAAAAATAAAGCATCGAGAGGAAATCATAACAGACGTTACATGTCTGATAAAAAGAGGATGGGGTTTGGGGGAGGGCCGTGAAACTTGTACACATAACAGACGTTACATGTCTGATAAAAAGAGGATGGGGTTCGGAGGTGGGCCATGAAAATTGTACACATAACAGACATTGCATGCCTGATAAAAAGAGGATGGGGTTTGGGGGAGGGCCGTGAAACTTGTACACATAACAGACGTTACATGTCTGATAAAAAGAGGATGGGGTTTGGGGGAGGGCCGTGAAACTTGTACACATAACAGACGTTACATGTCTGATAAAAAGAGGATGGGGTTTGGGGGAGGGCCGTGAAACTTGTACACATAACAGACGTTACATGTCTGATAAAAAGAGGATGGGGTTTGGGGGAGGGCCGTGAAACTTGTACACATAACAGACGTTACATGTCTGATAAAAAGAGGATGGGGTTTGGGGGAGGGCCGTGAAACTTGTACACATAACAGACGTTACATGTCTGATAAAAAGAGGATGGGGTTTGGGGGAGGGCCATGAAAATTGTACACATAACAGACATTACAGACCTGATAAAAAGAGGATGGGATTTGGGGGAGGGCCATGAAAATTGTACACATAACAGACTTTACATGTCTGATAAAAAGAGGATGGGGTTTGGGGGAGGGCCGTGAAAATTGTACATATAACAGGCATTACAGACCTGATAAAAAGAGGATGGGGTTTGGGGGAGGGCCGTGAAAATTGTACACATAACAGACGTTACATGTCTGATAAAAAGAGGATGGGGTTTGGGGTAGGGCCATGAAAATTGTACACATAAGACATTACAGACCTGATAAAAAGAGGATGGGATTTGGGGGAGGGCCATGAAAATTGTACACATAACAGACGTTACATGTCTGATAAAAAGAGGATGGGGTTTGGGGGAGGGCCATGAAAATTGTACACATAACAGGCATTACAGACCTGATAAAAAGAGGATGGGGTTTGGGGGAGGGCCGTGAAACTTGTACACATAACAGACGTTACATGTCTGATAAAAAGAGGATGGGGTTTGGGGGAGGGCCGTGAAAATTGTACACATAACAGGCATTACAGACCTGATGATAGAGGATGGGGTCTCAAAGTAAACTAAGGAATAGTGTTCATAACTTGTGTTGTATGCTGTAATAGGAATCAAACACAGGTAGCCAAGTGCTGTCTTTGTAATGTTCTGTAACCATGATAAGATAAACGGCAGAATTTTGTTGAATATTTATTGATGAAGTTAATGAGTTTTATGAAATGTTAATGATCAATGACTATTAAATGTACAAATGATTGACTTTGTTGAGCTTGTTTTCTTTCTTTACATTCCGTGGACAACTCAATGTGATAGATTGTAGACTCATATCAGCTTGACGTGTGCCAGTTGATAACACTACCTCATCTATTACCTTTTCCATATGCTGAGTTGCTTTCAACCTCCCAACCCCCAACAAAAGATAAATACTGGTAGATAAATAAAGAGATTTACACTGATGTATGTTAGCTGACATTCATATTTTAACAATCATTAGGGTTGAAATATTTGAAGTTTTATGGTGTCAGTTGATAGATATTGCAAAAATGTATATTTTTGTGGGGCTTCATTTTCATGGTTTTTCAATTACTTTTTTCGTGGACAATAGATAAAATCATACAAATTTAAACAGTTAATTGTCACACAAATCACCTACGGCAATTAAAGATCTTAAGTAAACACAAATTTTCTTGGGGGTATTTCAGCTGTGGTACATCTTCAATTTGGGCATTTTACTTCATTATGTAATTCGTAAGTCCCCCAAGAATTCTATTTGGCAGTAAATAGTTAAGTTGCCTCTCTTCAGGTACATGGCTCGGCCAGCAGCTTCGATATCTTAACAGTCTATTTAAGCATTTACTTGTTGGCCGTGTAATACACGTACTGAAGTTTTGGCAGGCACTGCAGCTGTTATAGCCCCTTAGCCCATATTATTATAATGCAATAAACTATTAAGATCCCCAGCAATGTGCCTCTGCGTAATTTGTTCATAAAATATTTTCTGCTGATATTTGTCCACATTTGCTGACCATTCATTTAATTCAATACCAGTACAACATAACTATAAAGTCACAATTAGAGATCAACTTTGTTATGCTAGATCTGGATTCCTTAATACAGGCTAATGGTCAAAATAGATATGGAACCTGTGACAACTGAGAATTATCAATTTCATCCCAAGAACTGTTGAAAATCGGAGAAGAGTGGAAACTAGATGAAGGGCAATTTGAATGGGACACTATGAGGTGATGGTAGGCCAAAAAATAAACCTTTTTTTACAATTACAATTATCACACACATACATACCATGTTATCTATATAATAACAGGGGTTATATAACTGTTGTTGTTGCCACACAGGTAATATGACTTGGTGAATCTATGATTGTTTCTAATTAACTGTATATGTACAATACCAGACAACTATATTGTGTCAGATATATTTAGGTCCTTTGCATCACTGACGAGTCCTAGAGGGATGAAGTGGCTGTACGATGTAGCATCACTGACGAGTCCTAGAGTGGTGAAGTTGCTGTACGATGTAGCATCACTGACGAGTCCTAGAAGGATGAAGTGACTGTACGATGTAGCGTCACTGACGAGTCCTTGAGGGATGAAACATCTGTACGATGTAGTATCACTGACGAGTCCTGGAGGGACGAAACAGCTGTACGATGTAGCATCACTGACGAGTCCTAGAAGGACGAAACAGCTGTATGGTGTAGCATCACTGACGAGTCCTAGAAGGATGAAGTGACTGTACGATGTAGCGTCACTGACGAGTCGTAGAAGGATGAAGTGACTGTACGATGTAGCATCACTGACGAGTCCTAGAAGGATGAAGTGGCTGTACGATGTAGCATCACTGACGAGTCCTAGAAGGATGAAACAGCTGTATGATGTAACATCACTGACGAGTCCTAGAAGGACGAAACAGTTGTATGATGTAGCATCACTGACGAGTCCTAGAGGGATGAAACAGCTGTAGGATGTAACATCACTGACGAGTCCTAAAAGGACGAAACAGTTGTATGATGTAGCATCACTGACGAGTCTTAGAAGGATGAAGTGACTGTACGATGCAGTTTTATTCAATATTTGGCTTCACAGTATGTATATAATTCTAAATTTTATCTATAGTACCGATCTTCAGGTTTGCTGGTGGTAGACTGGTAGAGTTTTAGTCCATGAGTTTTGATGTTGACTGCATGTCTTGTTTTACATGTAATTCGTTCAGATAGTGGCACGATAAAAACTATACACATATATATGAAAATCATGAATGGCATTAAACTATTGGGCTAGTGTATCACCCCATCTAGATTTTAACATTTCTTCCATCATTTTTGATTTTCCAACGTTGCCTCCTAGTTTTCAAAATTTAGGTTCTTAGCAACACTGACCAGACTTAGAGGGAGGAAAAAGCGGTATGATACAGCTTACCTCATTGTTTGGACAGGAAGTTCAGGGGTCAGGATCAGAAATATATTTCAAGACTCAAATTATCGATTTTGACAGGGCATGTATTATTTTGACAAAGTTAATTTTAACAATTTCTGATAAAGTATTTGAAATATCCTTTCAATTTACCTAGTTATCCCTGTTTAATTTTGCAATAATTTTGTCCACACAACATGTCAAAGTTTATTTTATAAGAGAAGAGGAATGTAGAGAATAAGTCATTTGTAGAACTGAGAAATTTCTGTCAATAGTGAACTGCCAAAAAAATCAATTTTGAGTCTCTTGTTAAATACCGAGATTACCTGATGGCTTGTTATATAGATGCGTTAAAGATACACGAGGCCCATTGGGTTGTATCTCTAACCTGGATCTTAAAGCCCAGCAGTGATATACATACCTAATTTACAGCTCTGTCGCTTAAACTCTTTTGTAGGGCAAGGCGTCCTATATCATGACGGTCTTTATCCTGTGATGTCCAGTAAGAGTTTGTTTGGTTGTGGGATGGAGATCTCAAACAGAGATTATTAAGATCAGAGGGGCGGGGCCAAACCCAGGAGTCAGCTCTTATATCATGAATGTATATATCTCTCGATGCCCATTATTGCTATATATAGTTCAGGGATGGGGATATCAAATGTCTCAAAGATTCTAACATCATAATTATGTTTGCCGTTTGATGCCAAGCAATACTATGTATGGTTATAAGTTGGGGATCTCAAAAGATATAACCAAGAAACCAAGTACCAAGGGGTAGGGTCAGTGTTATATTTGGTTATGGAGTGGAGATCTCAATAGTTTGGTAGATATTATGTAATTACATACAGCAATATTACCCCGCCCTACAACCTGACCCTTTGACCCGTTAGTTTCATACATTCTAAAGAAGGCCTTTTTAATAATTCAATGTACAATCTCTCTTCTGCTTCTAAAGATAAAGAAGTTTTAAAAAAATGACCCCTTTTTGACCTATATTGCTCCGCCCCTCAGGCCCCAGGGGCAGGGCCGCATAGATTTAATAAATTCTGATCACCTTGTCCTACTTCTGATCCATGCCAAGATTGGTCAAAATTGGCCCAGTAGGTTTGGAGAAGAAAATGAACACGTGTAAATACATGTTTGGGAAACAATAATATTGACCCCGTCCTATCATTCGATCCCTAGACCCCAGGGACATACGTTTTATAAAGTCTAAAGAGGACTAGTTGGGGCTTATGATTGAATGTGCCATTATTTTCTGCTACTTGTAGGGGAAGCGCAGAAGATTTACAAATTTGACCCTATTTTTGACCTGTTTGGGTCCGCCCCTCAGGCCCCTGGGGACAGGGCTGCAAAATCTCCTAATTAAAATCCACGTATCGTACTGATGCATGCTGATCTCACAGAGTTATTGCCCTTCGTTTTAGCGATGAGCTAGACAGCCGATGGGGGCCGAGATTGTGCTGATGATGCATGTCAAGTTTGATCAAAATTGGCTCAGAAGTTTTGGAGAAGAAGATTAACACGTGAAAAGACGCGATGGAAACGTTTTGCATCTACCTATCTAGATTTATTTAGTATCAAAATTTGGTCTAAGAAGAGAAGAGCCTACTAACAAGCAGGTGTGCATGCTATTATATATTAGTTTAAGACTACGAATACAATGTCTGCAATTTATCAAGAGGGACAAAAATAGGGCAGTGGGCTAGAGCATTGTGGCCTTGAATATCAGATTTTAGTCAACTAGTAAGTGGGATGTTCAACCAAAGAAATACTGACAATCAGTTCTCATAGCACTATGTAAAGAAATAGCAACTACTTAAACGTACACCATAACAGCTTTAGAGAGGTTCCGGCACAGGTCTATACGCTTCGTACAGTAACAGCTTTAGAGAGGTTCCGGCACAGGTCTATACGCTTCGTACAGTAACAGCTTTAGAGAGGTTCCGGCACAGGTCTATACGCTTCGTACAGTAACAGCTGGCGACTACAGCAGCAGCGGAGATGGTTGCGTCACGAACATTTTGATGGACCTGGGACTGATTTCACAGATCGCAAGCAAATGTTACGTCTGGCATTGCTCTTTAAAGTGTTTGGGACCATGTTAGCATCACTTCTCATCACATTTCCTGAAAGACAACGACGATAAATACGCCCTAAAGATTTCAGTGGTTTTTCCATTAGCAATACAGAAGAAAAACAGTCATATAACCATACCAAAAGATACATACATGTAGTTCCAGATACAAAAACGGAAGAAGTTAAGGTTCTTCCACCGTTCCGCTATCGTCTGCAACTCGCGTGACGAGAAAACCATCAACAGTGTCACAACAGAGACCTTAAGTCTTCAGGCAGTGACCCCCAGCAACAATTACACGCACCCCTCCCCTAATGCATCATACAGATAAAGAGAATTATGCAAGTGTAAAACATTAATGGACTGTTTATTTGTACGCTTGTAATGTTCCTATCTTAGGATTTAAAACCTTATTTGAAAAAAAACATTGAAATATTGTCCATGAGCTTACGTGAGATACTGGTCAAATTAACTTAAATTGCTTTCCAATTATCTAATTGTTTGTCTGTATGAGCTGACGATGTACGGTCATTAGATAAGCTGTCAGTACTATTAGGTGTTCTATAGAAACAATCTGTCAGAAATGAATTATTTATTGGTTTAGTTTGTCGCTAAAACCGATGTTGGCTTGTTAAATAGAACAATTTCCAGCCATATATCGTGTGTGAAGTGACAGTAATTTGTAAAGATGTATCATTCGAAAAAAGATGTTTCCGGAATTAGATATGTATATGCACTCGCCCAAAGGACACCGGAAGAGGCGGATGATTTCGTAAACAACTAAAACACAGCTCTTACTTGGTAATGAAAATCTGCAATGGAGCTATTTTAGATATTCCTAAAGCATCATAATGTTATACGTCATCTTAAAATAATTCTCATTTCTAGAAGACAATTAACAGATACCCTGCCAGTGATGGGAAACACACATTGCGATATATCCTTAACATTTTTAATAAATTGATGATTAACACTAATAAAATACTGGCTATTGAAGGATATTCACTGTCTACGCTGCCTCTGAAATAGCGTTTTTATTCAAGAACCTTAGTCATGGTCGGCATCAGAATTTCTGAAATCCACGTGGAATACCCTTTCGTACAGATGTAGAAATAATTTGCAAGACTTCTTGTGAATATTTCTTTTTTTCTTTTCATTTTTTTGACGTTGAACTACATGTAATGCGCATATTTAAATGGATGAAAAAATAGTCTGGCGCCTGTATCATAAAATATAAGTATGATATTGACACTGATATCTGAAATAAAATCCGTCTATTTCTTTTTTTTTTCTTTTTTTTTCTTTAGATATTGTCTAAACTTGACATTTGCATAAAGGTATGATCACCGAATTCTTGCATTCTCGTTACATTTACCTTGGTATTTTATCTTGATAAAAAACGAATGACATAAAACTCACGATTAAATCAATCACATCCTCATTCATTTTAAATCAATCATCTTATTACATTTTAACGCTGTTAAAGTATGCACGTGATTAGAACGCTGCATGTGTTTTGAGTGACGCGCAGCCTTAAGACTCAAGTTATTCAATTACTACGAATTGTTACAACTGATATTTTAGTAGAATATCGAGTTAGCAATTTACAGGAAGCCTGAAGTTACATTCTAAACGTTTTTATAATCTGGATTATTTTTCACTGCGGAAGCGTAAAAAGGATGCCATTTCCGAGAAAATGCGTTTAACCTGTTTGTGAAGACAATGATCTGGTGCAGATATAATTTCAAATAAATATTTTTTGTCTTCTTTTGCATTTCATTATCTTATATCAGATGACATTTTATTTTGTGTTTTTTACCGTCTTCTAAAATATGCCGACATTTTTTTTCTTGTTGATATCAGTGATCACTCAAAGTTCGCCTAGATAAATAGGGCCCTACGGCTTCCTTTCACACAACCGTATTTCTAAAGTGCAAGTTCGTGTCATATTTTTTATTTTTAATTTGAATCTTAAAAGCACTATAGACGATCCCTGTTCATTTCTCAGCTGAAATTTCTGAATTGTTAAATGACAACATCGGAGAGAACTGCTTTTTAAAACATTCTCACCCACTTGCAAGACAAGATGGCCGAAATCTTGCAGGAAACTGCATTGGTATGTCTCGTATGTCACTGCCTCTTACAATACTTCCAAATAACCAAAACAATTACTTTTACCAGTGAAATACTAAAATTTACCGATTTGAAATTCATCTTTCCAAATATTCGATCAAAGTTATAAAAAGATTTGCTCCCAGTCAGTGAAGTTATTCAACGGTTTTGGATTAAACCTCATTCTTTTATCAAATTGATGTAACTACGTGATTCCGTAGGTATCAAACTACTTTACGAAATATGTATTGGGAATGTTTTCATTTTTAATCGTTGTCGTGTGATTTATATCCGAAATCTTACTGATTTTAAAAATCATTTGATTTTTCATTCCACCCCGTAGAAGTGTAATCCTAATCTTCGAATCAATCTTAGTCTTCTGTGAGCTATATTCGAAATTCGAAATTTTAAAGATAATTCTAAACGTCATGCTGATCTTCAAACCCTATTCATTTAAAATCGAAACCTTTATATATATTTGAAATATAATATTTTTGTTCGGAAATTTGTGATACGTGAGTGCAATTAATTTCGACAGGGTTGTGAGAGATGTATGTCAGCGAAGTATATGGCAATGATTAATTATCGTTATTACAGCTCTAAGTTTGTACCAAAAGGTACTACTCATATACGTGTCGTATGTACCATCTTGTTTGCCATCATGGCCTTATTAGGAAATATTGTTTCACTGTGCCTTATTTAGGTGTGTTTGATGTTCATTAGAATGTCCGATTCTTTCGACGTTGTAAGGCGATTCTCGTTTTGATTTACATGCTATGTATTGCTTATGGAAAAGATGCTTCTCATTGCGGAACACTTGGTCTTATTCTTGTACCTTGCAAAATCCTCCATATCGATCTGTCCTTTGTTAATTTTCCTCCCTGGGTTTTGAGATAATATAATTTGGTTTGGTTTATTGTTGCTTTACGTCCTATTAAAAGCCAGGGTCATTTAAGGACGTTTTATGGTTTGAGTGGTAGAGGAAAGCCGGAGTTCCCGGAGAAAAATCCACCGACCTGCGACCAGTACATGGCGATTGCCCCACGTGGGTCTCGAAACCCGCGACCCGGAAGCGGAGGGCTAGTTATAAAGACTTCAAGACGCCTTAACCACTCGAATACCGCGGCCTCTAATGCCTTTAGATATATGTCGATATATATATTAATCTCAATATCTCTTCAACACAACAAGTGGTATATAGGGCATGTATCGCTCACCTACATATTTTAGCTTTCACACGTAAACATTTAATTCGAATATTATTGTGAAATACTTCCCTAAACAATTAAAGCTTTACTCCAAATAAGGACAAATACCTATATACAATCAAAATAATAAGGATGTTAATCTCCATTTCCTTTACCAGGCCCAGCCCCTTTGCCCCCAAGGGATCTACAACCGTGATTTAAACCTTCACCAAAGTATAGTCGAATCCAAATTCCCCTAGGTCCTCAGAAAGTTCAGACCGAGATTTGCCCAGTTTATACAAAACTGAGCTTCTGCACTCGATGCTTAAGATCACATTTGAACAAAATGGTTATTTCCATAGGCCGAGAGTGAATAAAAATATGATATATTTGAAAAAAAAGGCCCGCCCTCGAGAGCCCAGACCATCCATTTATACAAAATTGGTCTCACTTTTCCAAATAATGTTTCTGACCAAATTTGGTCATGACTACTAACAATTTTCATCAAACAAAATGACGTACGACGGACGCAGCGCTATTGCATAACTCGCCAAACCTTTGGATCAGATAACGAAAATGTAAATGTAAAGATAAACAAATAAGCAAACAAACAAACAAAAGACAAAACAAGCCATCTTGACCATTCTTTGATCCTTCATTACTTTACAAATATCTAACAAGAACATTATTGGTATTTTATTCGTAATTTTTTTCCTCTTCTCAAATTTCTCGCACTCACTTCCACTTCCTTTATTTTTGAAACCCCCGGAAATATTTTACTGCCACGAATGGAATTCTAAAGCAAATCTCAGAGATAAGACACTGTATAAGCTTATAGTCGTCTTAATAAATGTATATCACTTTTTTGTTCTCTGGGGAAACCAGATTTCATGCATGGTCTTCAGAATATTCCTATATATTCATCGATGTTGTTAAAATATCTGGTACAGACAGATTGTACTGTGGAGCCAAGATACAGGATCACGCTAACATACTTTTCATTGACTTAAAAAAATAAATAAAATCGTTCTTCACATTCAGCCAAATAACCAACATCATAAGTCTCTTGACATCAGAAATGCAATGTATATTGCATGTCAAAAGAGATTTTGAAATGTAAACAGAAATCGTTATCGCCCGGTTTCGATGTGATCAGTTATTTCGGAGAGTATTACCCTTGCCCGAGACAACGTCATTAAGAATCGCTGGACAAGTCAATGAGATCTTCAATCATCACTAAACTGGGCCAGTATTCACGAATCCATCTTCTTTTTCAAATACACATTTTTGCTCAGGCTATACTATTTTGATGATAAATCTTATATATAAATTAGTATATTTTCAATAATCTAAGTTAAGGACTGTAAATAAAATATTACTTTCAATGTTTAGGTTTTTCTATTGCAATATTACTACATGAGCGTCAGAATGGTTTTATGAATACTGCCCTGATGTTAGTATTTACATACAGAATTCATTTCAGTATACTGAAGAAAAACTTGTAAAAAGTTTCGCTTGCTTGTCCAATGATTCAATCAAAATCCTGAGATAACATAAACATTCACTGGTAGTGGTAGTGTCAACATGTTTAGCCAAACTCATACCGCGAAAAAAAACTCCCTTCTGTATGGTAGAACAAATTCCTTTAATAGCTTTTAAATAATGTAAAATCAGTAATTTTCATGGACAACTTACTTTCGTTTTATTCGAGGGCGATTTATTTTCTTTTTCATGGGAAGTCTTAAACCAAGAATTTACATGTCCACGTAATGATAAGCAGATATAAATGACATGAATTATAGTACAAGTGAATTTCGTGGGTCAGATATATCTACGGAATTAAGTGCATATTTCAGTAAAACCACGTAATTTGAGTCCCACGAAAATATATCATTATACAGTATATCGATATTAGTTTGGCTTACTGTTCTCGCAATAAAGGACTGGATTGTATCTGTTTCGACATATACTTACTAGTATAACAAAGGAGAGTTTTTGTACGTCCTTAAGCATCGTTTATATGATAGACTACAGTATAATAGTTACCATGGTCATCACAAATGGTTATCTTATCAGTTAGTTACAATATCACTATTATACAACTATGTAGAACCTGGCTGGAAGTGATTAAACCATGAGATAATCGATTATCTAATCATTTAATCTCACCTGATGCAAAGGTCGATTGTACTTTTCCATAATCAATTATCTGTACCTTTACATTTTCTGTTTTAACAAAAAAAAAAAAAAATCATATTATGCGAAGTAATGATTTCAATTGCCAACAATATTCTTTCTTATGTAAATTCGAGGTAAGTGAAATATTTCACGTAAAAGTTACAGAAAAAAGAAAAAAAAAAGAAAATATCATTGCCACATAGAATGAATGCCTTCAGTTTCTAAGAATATTGAACATTCTAAGCCGTGTATGTAATCGCTTAGCCTGTATGATTTTAACTGATAATTGATTATTGATTTTAACTGGTTATCGATTATGGATTTCAACTGATAACTGATTTTAACTGATAATAGATTATGGATTTCAACTGATAACTGATTTTAACTGGTTATCGATTATTGATTTTAACTGATTTCCTATCACTACTTTCTTGTATACTGGGTAAACTACCATCCTGAAACTTGCTGGCACCTACCACTACCAGGAAATAAATAAATATATCTGTGTGCCATATCTGGTCATAAACTCCTCTTTAAGGGGCTACTGACCGTCGATGTGACACAAAAATTAACCTCATCCGCCTCCGCCACCACCTGCACGTCGTGAGGGCCTAAAGCTTCCCCCTCCTCCACCACCACCCATTAAAGGATTGTAACCTGTAAAACCAACATAATGAAGTATAGGGCAAAGTTCTGCATCTGAATTGCAAGGATAAGTAATACTGTTACCTCAGTCGGAAATAAATCGAGGTCACAAGAATATCAGCATTCAAGGTTAGCATTGTAATCAAATTAATATGAAATAACTGTTGCACATTTTCCCTAATCCAATGAGACATCTGGTAGTTCTAATACATCAAGAACTTTTTGTGTTAGGTTCCGTTCTAGTTTAACTCGGAAAATATTATTTCAAATTGGTTTAAAGAATTGAAAGAAAAGGTTTTCTGTCCCGCTTTTAGATATTACCAATGGCTATGAAATAAAACATCCAACAATTCCGATCGTTGGAATAAAACGTTTGGTCTCGTGAAATATTACCAACCCAACCGATAGTTAAGGTAAGGCAAAGGATTTGGTAAGTGATACAGCTTTTTATGTTAATTAACAATCATACAATATGTTATCACTTTACCATGACAGATTAGAACGTCATTCAGCGTGCAAGAATGAGGTCAGGATTTCTGCAACTCAACATATGGGCCCCGTGAAAAACCCTTTGTCTGAAAACTTCATAACTGGCCAGGTTGCTCAAACGTTAGTTAGAATTAAGGTTTACTGTGGTGAGTGAAACATTCAAATTGTTATTGAAAACACAAGAACGTTAAAGGCAAAATTGACGCTGAAAATATTTCAATCTTGCCTCCATAAAAATACAGATATGAAACGATAAAGAATGGTTCCAATTCTGTTTGATTCATGTTTGGAATTTTTCACAAACATTCAATCACAGAAGTACAAACGAAACATAGGGATTACACATCTAAAAAGGTTAACAATCATACGAAGTCTCCATGTACTATGAATGGTTACAAATTTATGAAGCGGGTAAGAAAGTGTTACGATTTCCTGTAGCTAAATGAATGAATTCTCAATAAAACCCCAAGCAAGAACTAGGTATGTGACAGACTTTTTGATACTGGTTAACAATAAAAATACTAAGACCGGTTACAAGATTATGAAGCAGACACGGAATGTGTTTCGGGCTTTTAAAGATCATTATAGAGGTCCCCATGAAAGATCCTGACGTTGAGAACTTGAACTTTACAATACAACACTGTGGTATGATACGTACCTTCGAAAACGGTTACCATGCATACAAAAAAAATCATCGTTCTACTGTGACTGGTTGCAATGTTATGATGCGGACACTAATGTGCTTCAGACGGACAGAACGACCCCTACGCGACGGGACCCTACTAAACCTATGTGATACAATTGAATACAATGGATAATTTACTGTATAACATTTCATGTATTCATCCTTATGGAATAGTTAATGGAAAACACTTACCAGTATCTCTGAGTCTTGGCTTTGGTTTCAAACCTTTGGTAGTTTCGGAATTTTCTTCTCTCTGTAATAACAATAAATACCAACATAAGCCTAATTTTCTCGACCTGCATATCAAACAAACGTCATCAATCAAATGCTATGGCGCAGTAATAATTCACAGTAATCCGATGTCCGGAACAGAAAAGACACCAATAAGGAACGCCATGAGAGTCGAACGCCGGGATAAGATATTCTAAAATTGGAGATAAAAAATCAAAGTTGCATCACATTCGAATACGCGAAATAAGATCTATCTGAAAACTACTAGACAAGTACAAAGGGTTTATTCCTATCGCTACAGATTACAACTTTACACCATTTTGAAACATAACATAAAGAATAAATTCAGCATTCATGACGAAAGGGCAAGAAGACATCATCCCTAAAACAAACGAACGGCAAGTGATCTAAGTTGAGCACTTATCACAGATACATCGCCGATATTTCCATCGTTTTGTATTTGATAATCTTTTGATTTCGTTGAACTGGATCATTAGTCTTGACATCAAAGACCAAATTAAACACAAATTGAGCGAGAGAGCTTGAGCCCCCTCCTCCTCTCCACTTCTCCGTATGCTGCCTCCATGTCTTCAGACAAATGTTCTGACAACTATAGAAAACTATAGAAATACTGATGATCTCAATCTTCATTGGTGATGTTCTCATTACTTATAGGGAAATGCTAAACATTCTGCTTCGACAAACGTCAAACCTTCAGACAAACATTTTAGGGAATATTGCTTATTCTAGGGTTAAATTAAAGGGTGCTTTTCATTTGTATGTCTTTCGTGCAACATACAGTTGTGAGTTAATACAGATTTTGGTTAATATCTCCGGTCGAAATCGTGATTTTATTTGGACGAGTTTTAATTTCATGTCCGACACCCTATTTGATAATTAGGGGTACACTAGGCTTCAGCATTGCTATTGTGGTGGTTCTTGTTTTCAGGGTGTGGTATTATTTGCCTTAAAGCGGCTATTACCTTCGATTTCAACATCGGGAAATGGAGAATTCGGCTTATGAATAATAAAATATATCCATAATAAAGCAATACACGCGCCTATAACGTCAAATTAATTGCTTTTGTACATATTTTCGGCCTCTGAACATTGTTTATCTTGACTATTGTTTATAAACATGTTCACATTTGGTTTGATACGAAGAAAGCTGAGTGGGTCACATGGCTTGTCACGTGACGAAGTCATTTACTTCCGCCGCAAAGAAAAAAGTGGAGTACGAGGTAAACAAACAAACATGTCTTATGTATGACATTTGCTTTAGCGCCTTTCTGCTAATTCTTGTTAGTAGTAAATGATTCTATAGTGTTATAATATATAATTTTTAACAATCAGTCTTAGTAATTCGTTTTGTTTTGGCTTTGTCGTGCGAGAATTACCTATGTTAATCGCGGGCGCTAAACTAGTGGGGCCCCAAAGGGGGTAATTACAATCAGAAAAAGAAAAAAAAAAAAAACTCATTGTGCAGAAATGCACAGGAATTGATATTTTGTCCGTACACATTAATAAATATTGTACTGTTTATTATGAAGGCTATGTTTATTATTCTCACAGTAACACCAGTACCGTCATATTTGTATACTTAGAACGAATACCCGCAATTTGGCCCCACCCTGCAGTCAACAACAAATACACGTTGTCAATAGTAAATTCAACACAACTATTTTCATTCAACATTTATCAAATAACACTTTTAGTAGTGTTGTTCATAACATATTCACGCGTCAAACATTGGATATTGGATTATAATCAATGACATGCGGATGAGTTATAATTAAAGGGCTGGCGTTAAGCTAACCAGTCAAGCAGCAGCTTCGCAAATTCCGAATCCGTATTAAGTCCAAGATCCTCCTTCATCTTTCGCCATCTGTCGATCTCCTGTCTATTATAAATTCTTGCCTGTCCTCTTTTCTGGTCTGATTCCTTCCTCTTATGCTTTCTGGCACTTTCTGTAAGGTAACTTTTTAGGTCCTCGTCGCCTTTTCGTATTTGCGTCCGCCATATTACTTCTTTCTAGGCTTATACGCATGTGCAGCATCAGGGTTACGAGCGGTAATGTATGAATTAGATTAGGACCGCAATGTTTACATTCTTTTTTTTCTTGATATCAATAAAAATGGTTGCAGTGACTTTTAATTTTAGTAAATAACAGAAAGTCTTAGTTTTGTAACATACTATTGCAAAATAGAATGTTTTATATCGTTTTCTCGTAGTGTTTTTAACATTATAGTCGCTTTAACCAAGTTTTCGCCATGGGTACAGTCGGTGACGGGGAAGCAGCCTAACCTTCTAGAACATCTTATTCTCCTTGTCCATATCAAATGTCATGTGTAATAATCTTTGTGCTTTTTGGTCATATTTTGTCTTTATCGTTTTGAAGTACATTTGTTTCTTTGATGTGTCTAGGTTGAAAATGCAACAATAAGGAATATTGAAATAAAAACGATGTCCAAAAATTCAACAGAATTAGAAAAAAAACCTTTTGTTATCGAAGACCTCATACTCTGAGGTCACACATATTAATTTTAGAAGGATTTTCAAGTAATAACAGTGTTATCCAAGGCTTGGCGCTTATATCCAATACCAAACACAGTTGGCGGATAGAAAGAAAGCCATATGTTATCAATGCTCACTGCAAATGGTACCATTATATTTTCATAGACGTACATGGATACGAACGAGTTTAGATCCAATTAAGAGACCAAATAAGCAGGACTAATGATGGAACCTAATAAGTGTGAATTTAGATAGAGTAGAGTGATATATTGCATCATTAGGATTTCTATAACTTGAAAGAAAAGGCGGAAAATAAAATCAAGATATAATTTTTCACTCGTAAATTATTTAAACTTTTTTATATCAGTGTCACAGGAAATTGTAAATAGTTTCTTCTCGTCTTATCCTCACATGGTGATTAATTAATTTAGAAATCAAATTACTTGTCTTGAGTGATCACAAATTTGTTTTTCAAGGTCATTATACATCATCGTTGATAAGAATATGAAGAACTTGTTTCCTTTCATGGAAAAGCATTCCATTATGAAGGGATTGTCTAATAAATGTAAAAACATATTTAGGCCATACTGGTAGATACACTCTGATTTGAAAAGCTTGCAACACAATATTCAATATTTGTATGCAGCAATCTACGATTCTGTACTAATATACAACTGAACATCATGATGAGTGTTTAAGCCCACAAATCAATCCTGAAATTTCTGACATAAATGTATAAGAAACATATCTTTTTAATACATTTATGTTCAAAATAAAGTCTCACCATCCTTTCAGCAATCCATGTCATCGACAATAATAGCATGTCCAATTTTTCGTTTCCGAGAAATATAAAAAATTAAAAGTCACGGCCGATGCGCAAGTTTGCAGACTATATAGTAAACGGGATAGTTACAAGCATCTACACATGTCGAAGAAAATATGTAAGTCATCACTTTTTATGTAAGTGTACGGCGAACGAAACTGACCTTAGTTGTTCAACGTATCTAAAAGATTGTACATAAACCCCACACTTCATAGCACATTTAAATACAACTTTAGAATTAGATACAGTAGAGCCAAACAATGAGTTACCCTGCATCTTACAGCTGTTTCATCCTTTTAAGACTTGTCAGTGATGCTAAGGGCCTAAATTTTGAATCTTAAAAGGTCACTGAGGAAAGTCCAAAGTAACCGGAAGACCCATAATTCATAAGATTTCGTAAATTTCATATGACGATATAATAATAACGTTCAGCATATTTGTATATTCTGAACCGTGCCACTTTTAGAATGAATTAAATCGTGGCATGCAAGCCATGCCAAACCTCGGGAGCTAAATATCTATAAGCAGTGTTTACCACCTACGATGTGGGTTCGGAATGGAGACATTGAAGGCTTCAATATAAACAACACTGGCTTCTTGGATCGATCTATTCCATGGACTATAATGATGAAAAAATACAAGATAATATTATGTATCAGCATTGGCATTGAGGGGTGACTCTAGGGAGGTTTGTTAATCAACATGGTATTACGTCCAAAACGAATCAAACAAGATTTAATATATCATCTAAAAAATGGGATTCTTTTTTTCGTATGACGTGATGTGTAGCATCACATGACCAACCGAATCAACTACGGCGATATATCACATCACTGTAAAATTGTTTGAAAACTGTTTTATATCATATGTTAAATTTGCAGTTTTAAGTAAAAATTTAAACAAGGATGCCGGTCCGACATCTTGGCAGTAAATTTCTTTACACTCATTAGATATTTTTTGGCGGTTTTCGTCAATTACATCAGAGGACAATTACCCTTCAGGAGCCCCTTATTCTCCACGTACTTTTTCCATTAGTCTCCATGTAAAATCTGTCTTTTTTTCGTTCTCTAAAATGTTATTTTATTGATCTCGTTGGTGTCCTTAATCAACATGTTCATGTGTCCACGAATTATCAACATTACTATAAGCTCATCTATTAAGCTTTATGTATCTACAAAATGAAATATTATGAATTGTAAAATGCATAGAAATTGCGCTCATCGGGAATACCTGATTTCACGCTGGTTTGTCCTAGTTTAATAGAATTTTGAGTCTGGATTTAGATTATGTTGTTATGTCCGTCCCTAATTTAAACTAATCCGAGCTTAGTGACAAACATACGTGATTTACATTAAGGTGTCTTTAAAAACTACGACCTCAAATCGAAGTCATACATGTGTATGTGGGTGTTTTAAAAATAAGCTTTGATTTCACTGCAGTAAACTATGACTGATTTAGTAGGAGCTCAACATTAAGGCATTTTCCATAAGATCATAATGTTAATTTTCGGTTATAGGATTAACTATATTTCAATATGCGTTATTTGTAAATATACTATTTGTATTTTGATAAGTAAATACATTACATTTGTGACGTGTGTGGAAATTGTATTAAAAACATGAGGAAAGACAAACATATAAATTCTTCATCAATAACGTGTATAATCGTGTAATAACACGTGATTA